ATAAATTGCACAACCAGCACCGTTATCCACAAAATAACCAAAACCTATGTTATCTACATTAAACAGAAAAGGATTCATAATTAAATACGGTTGCTTCTCGTAAACAGTACAGCAATTCCGGGAGTATAGGCATTCAATACAATAACACCACAAATATGGATACCAGCATCGACGAAATCACGACACCCAGAAAGTAGTAGAATTTTATTTAATTACCTTATTGAAATATAAATAGTTGATATCAGTGAACCAACAATATTAAATATATATATAAATATATTTACCTATTATATGACTTAGTGAGTTGTGTAATTATTTTTGATTTGAAGTCTCTTAAAGTAAGTGCAAATAAATCAATATCACAAAAATAGTCATTATATAAAGACATCATTTTATAAAACGGTGTACGTTGACCTGCGTTAGTTCTAACATTTTTTAAATGAAAAAGTTTATGGAGGCGTTTATTACGTATTCTTACTGATCTAGCAGGTATCCGATAGAAGATATTATCGGTTAAATCAATACAGTCAAAAACATTATGCATTATTTTATATAATGTCATTGTACTCAGCATTGTTCTACGTTGCTCCAAACTATGTAGCGAGTGTGTCTGTAAGAGTTGTACATAAGAAGATTTCGGTAAACGACATCTGTAATTGATACGTTTCAAAAATTTGCGCTGCACTGATTCTATTAAATTGACATATTTCTTATAGTGAGGATTCCAAATGGTTGTAGCGTATTCTAGCTGGGATCTTACAAGGGCTTTAAGCAAGTGTATGTATGTTGCAGATTTTTTAAATTTACAACCTATACGCATAATAAATCCATACATTTGATATGCCTTACTAACTATATCTGCAATATGATTATCGAGGTGAAGTTCAGAGTCCCATAGTATACCGAGGTCACGGATACTATTCACTTTTACAAGTATTTTCTGACCGAGTATATAATCGAAGTGTATGGTATTTTTTTTTTTTGCAAACGTAATTGATTTGCATTTTGCCGTACTTAAATATAACTTGTTCAAGGTGCAGTATTCATTCAATCGGTCCAAGTCGCTTTGGAGACTCCAACAGTCATTATTATTCTGGATATTTTTAAAGATTTTTAAATCGTCTGCGTATAAAAGAAAGTTACTATTCTTAAAGCATTGATCTATGTCATTAATAAAGATAAGAAAGAGCAATGGCCCCAAGATCGAACCCTGTGCCACGCCAGATGTAATAATAGTGCTGCTTGAAGCGTAACCATTTATGACTACTCTCTGAGTCCTATTAGATACATATGAACAGAACCATCGCAAGAGGTCACCTCGAATACCATTGTATGCAATTTTCCTAAGAAGTAATTCGTGATCCACCTTATCAAATGCTTTACAGAAGTCAGTATAAATAGCATCTACCTGAATGCGACGATCCATAGATTCAAATAAGAAATTGCTAAATATGAGTAAGTTGGACTCTGTTGAACGTTGCTTGACGAAACCATGTTGTTGAGGTAATATGATAGTATGAAGCTGTGGATAAATAGCATTGTGCACTAATCTTTCCAGGACCTTGGCCAACACAGACAATAAAGAGATAGGACGGTAATTACGAACATCGCTCCTAGAGCCAGATTTGTAGACAGGAGTTATATTAGCCTTTTTCCAAATTTGTGGTACGGTGGCTTCTGTCATGCATTTATTGTATAGTATAACAAGAGGAACCGAGATGTTTACAGCCGTTAGCCTAAGAAATAGAGGAGGGATGTTGTCCGGTCCATGTCCTTTGTGAATATCTAGTGACTTTAACACCTTCATTACTTCATTCCGTGAGAATTTTATATCTGATATTATAAGATCATAAGAAGGGTTTTCATTTTGTGCAGAGATTAAATCGAAATTATCGACGGTATTCGCCTCAAAAACTGAATTAAAGAAGGTATTAAACATGTTACAAATTTGTTCAGGATCATCACACTTAGTATCCTTGTAGGTCATAGCATTTGGAATACCGCCCACGTCATTGTATTTGCGAACATAAGACCAGAATGATTTTATATCTTGACGTATGCTGGTCTCTACCGAATTTATATAAGTATTAAAACATTCATCGGAGAGGATTTTAAATCTACGACGATAAAGAGAAAAATTCTCATAGTCTGATATGTTACCTGTTTTTTTCCACTTCACCCATGCTTTGTCTTTATTTTTGAAAATGTGTATTAGTGGACGAGAAAACCATATAGGAAATTCTCTTGACTTAACAGCCCTCAAAGGTATGTGTTGAGCAATAATCCGATATATTTGTTCATAAAAAACATCAACAGCGTCGTGGACAGATAGGTTGCTCAGAATCTCATTCCAATTAATTGATTCAATGTCACTATTAACCAAGAGATAGTTACCCTCAAAGAATCTATATCGGGGTTTTTTATTATTAGTTATGGATGTGTAAGTCAAATCAAGAGACGTTGTCACTAAAAAAGGAGGGTGATGACTATCCATTGGAACTAATGGTGTATGTACTATTTCTATAGCACAATCCACTGAATTAGAAATAAATAAATCTAATATATTACCACTATTATTTTTATATATATTATATTGATATGACTTCAAGTAAGAAACAAAGTTAATTACGTAAAAATCTATGTCGCCGCTATTTTTAGTCAGTATAGGAGTCACTTCGGAGTCACTGTTCAATTCCCAGCAAAGTGATGGAACATTAAAGTCACCAAGGATGTATAAATTATCACTGTTTTGCGAAACGACTTTGTTTTGAACAGCATTTAAAAAATTTTTGTATGTGAGGGTAGATTGTTTAGGCGGTATATAAAGTGCACATAATGTATGAAAGCGATTATGTTTACCTGAAGGAAATCTAAGTAGAACGTAATCAATGTTTGGTGGCACCAGCTGAGAGTCGGTAACACATACAGTTTCGCTAGTTTTGTCCGACTGGAGATCAGATCGGTATGGAGTAAGCTCGCGGCGTACCGCCACAAGAACACCACCACCGTCCTTCTTATCACTAGCGACTAAATTGCGATCACAGCGAAATATCATGTAACGATCGTCCATTATTGATACATCCAATACTGACGGCAAAAGCCATGTCTCGGTTAACACAATGACATCATATGAATCTGACAAAATATTCATGTAAAGTAAATTTAGTTTTGTACGTAAGCCCCTGCAGTTCTGGTAATAAATCATCAATTTATCAGTCATTGTTTATAATGTAATTATGTGTAGATGTAAGTAATTGGAACGCATTAGAAATTCTTTTATAAAGATGTCCAACTGCTTTTTTCTTGTAATTACTTAAAGGCGTGAACATTTTGGTCTTAAAAAATAGCAGTAAGCACAAAGAATAGGCAATGATTTTTTTCTTTTTGTCTTTTTTTTCTGCTGATTGTATTTCACTGAATAGTTTTTTCATTTTGACAAAAAATATTACCTTCTCTTTCAGAAAGTATTGGTGATTGTGATTTAATGCACAGATAAAGGAGTGATGAAATATATATATTAGTGTAATAAACATTCTGTAAATATGATGTAAAAAGTCAGAATTCAATTGGTTAACAATATAAAATGAAAATAATATTATGTATTTCGAGCTGATAAAATAATAGCTATAGGTACTTACAAGAGGAATTCGAAATGTGTGTCGTAATCTCGTCGCCGATACAAAGCACCAATTCACTAGCACCATATTATCATAGTTAAACATCAAATACAAAGATATTTTATTGCAAATATACTTAAATAAAGCAATAATTCCACAGTAAATAAAATAATTGTAGGTAAACTGATAACAAAAACTATACGAGTTATTCTCTGGGTAACCGGAAAAAGAGTACAGAGTAATTAAAGAATCAGAGATTAAATCATCTTTATGTCTTCTAATTATAACACTGTAAATTACGCACGCACATATGAATATCGATTTAGACTGACGATAATTATTTCGATTTCTTTTTAATTCTAAATATATCTTCTTGACAGCGAATAGCAAATATAGGTGAGGTATCATTTTCTCGAACCAAAATTCCGCCATTTTTGACCCATGCATACTTATAATTATTATTTTTGACTGCCAATCTTGTTTCGCGAAACAAGTCTTTGTTTTTTAGAGTTAAATGTTCATTTAAATATACTTTTTGCGGTGGTCCAGATATATTAAGTTGGTCGGTGGTCACACCTTTGGCTAGTCTAGCTGCTGATAATAGATTATCGCGTAAGATGCGACTGGTTAGTTTCAACACCACATTTTTTGGTCTTTTGTTGTTACTGTCGGCATGGCGAACCCGATGAATTGAGACAATATCATGTTTTGAAATAGGGTATTTCACTAAACTTCCCAGGGTAATGATCAACGAGACAAGGTCTTCACCACGTTTTTCAGGTAAATTATTTATCTCCACATTACATTGTCGTGCATGTTGTTCCATCACGTCGATTTTCGTTTCGAGTTGGGTGATGTGTTGAATGTGAAGACTATCCAAAGCAGTTTTTTTTTCTAAAATATTAAGGCGGTTGTCCATATCATCAGTCTTTTTATTTAATTTTTCATATTCCTTATGAACGAAATTAAGTGATTTTTTGACTTCTTCAACTTCATTTAGCAGCTTTGTCTGTTTCTCATCATATTTTGAGAACCACCTTTCCAATGTTGACATAATAGTCTCTTGAAATGATTTGAAGTCATTACGAAGATCATTACTGTCCATTCTGTTTCTTTGTGTAACAAAGTTGGGTGGTGTCACTTGTTCCAATAAATGTGGATTTTCGCTGGATTGAATGCCACTCATTTCACCGACACTCATTGCTTGACCTTCTTGAGAATTAAATGTACTGTTCAAGTTGTTCATAATCCCTTCTCTGCAATGCAAACTACTCTGTGAACGATGCGCGAACGAACGTAGCCTGTAGTACTAGTGACCGCTTCTCACGCACGCTTACGATAAACTGAGACTGCTTTGATAAAGAGGAATTGGACATTTGTAGGATGAAGAACATAACTTACGACATAGAAGAAATAGATCCTATAACCACTCAAAGAAGGAAAGTTCAAAAACGCAAACGCAAGATGGTGAAAGAAACAATCAAAGATAAAGAGAATGTAAGAGAAATTAAGCAGCATCTAACATGTAGTTTCGGTAAGAAAGATAGAAGAGCAATTGCATCTGCAACAATGTTACTAAGATCTTTCTTACATGTTATCGACGATTTCCATTAAAGAGTTGTCCAAAGGATTACCTGAATCAACTATCTCCATAGGAGGTGAAGAAAAGAAAGCAAAGATAACCTCAAATATGAAAATACCTACATTAGATACAGATCGGCCAGATCTGTATCCCATGTTCCCACCCATGTCTCTCAGGGAACAAAAGATGCAACCAAATGGAATTAATGTTTGTCACCAAGCATTTTCTATCTTATGCATTACTATCTTTCTGACTGCTCTGTTAAGACACTCATATTTGTTACCCCTTCCATCTCGCTCTGCTAAGTTATTTCTATTGATATGTAAATATGGGCATTTATTTCAAGCATGGAAACGAGTTCAATTAGGACCTGGTCCAATCGTTAAAAACGATTGTAATTATACAAGGATACATTGCGAGGACGAGGATTATAAATCTATGAATACAAGTACTAAAGAGTGGTATGACAAACTAATAGGCAATATAACCTCTGACCGTAAATACGTATACGTGTGGTCCAGTTCAGGAATGCTTAACACAGCAAGCACTACAGTAGGATTGTTGCCCATGAACTTTAATATGCAACGTAATATTAAGAAAGTTGTTTGCATGAGATCTAGTGATGATTCAACAACTAAATACTTATCAAACAATGCGGAGAACAATAAAATATGTGTCATTAAGAAGTAACAAAATATGTCTTTAGTTGGGATAAATTTAAGTCCTGACAAAATGTTTTTCCTACCTGAAAGAATAGCTGAGTACACTTCTTGGTACATTGATGGTAAATTTGTTTTGGTATTATGATTGATGGTAAAGGAAATGTCCTTATGATGATCTGTATACGATTGCAAAGGGATCCTCTACTCTACTTCAGACATTAATGAAACTCAACCAGGATTGGAAATTATAAACGAGTATTGAAAAGAAAAAGATCATTACCGCAGCTTGTTTCTGAAAAAGCAAATAACATAGATGAGCTGTTAATGTGTTCTAATGTACAGAAGAACAAAAAGAAAATCTCTTCATCAGTCTCACAAGTACAAAGAAGTGGAGATATAGCATTCGTCTCTACAAACAAAGATGATGAACTAAACGCATCATATTTGATAATAATAGAACTGTATAATTTGAAATAAAAAATTTAAGATAACAAAGAAACATACCGAGACTCCAAAAAAAAAAAACAAAAATTATCGAACAAACCTTTTGCTTGAGACATTATTACCAGAAGATGGTGGTGTGAATAATGGAAATGACAAGTACAACAGAGTATTTGACAAGAAATCTATCAACAATAAGCGCTTTGTACATCTACACAGAAACCCCTCCACACGGATATGGAAGCCAGGCTCCAAAGGTTGCAGAAACAGTGTTAAGATCTTTGGAGTACAATAGAAAGAAAGAAGATAAAAGAACAATTAATATTGGAAATATCGACATAGAAAGACTACAATGGGAGAAAGAAGATGGAGTTTTCCCTCACGATAAAATACATGGCAATTACATCTGTAGTAAAGGAAATGACTATATCTTTTTTACATGATAATCTTACACAATTAACTACAGTAGTAAACAGGGTAATGGATTCCATCTTAAACCAAAGTTCAGATGTCTTAACCCAAGGAAGACAAACATTTTGCCCCTTTAGAGAACAAAGTGTTACAGCTGCTCAAGCCTATGAAATGGCATTTGACTTTTTGATTTTTAACACAGGAAGAGATTGTTTAAGCTTAGTAGATTGGATTCAAGCCATAATAGAGTGCTATGATAAAGGGGAATTGGACATTTGTAGGATGAAGGACATAACTTACGACATAGAAGAAATAGATCCTATAACCACTCAAAGAAGGAAAGTTCAAAAACGCAAACGCAAGATGGTGAAAGAAACGATCAAAGGTAAGAGAATGTAAGAGAAATTATGCAGCATCTAAGATGTAGTTTCGGTAAGAAAGATAGAAGGGCAATTGCATCTGCAACAATGTTACTAAGACCTTTCTTACATGTTATTGAAGATTTCCATTAAGAGTTGTCCAAAGGATTACCTGAATCAACTATCTCCATAGGAGGTGAAGAAAAGAAAGCAAAGATAACCTCAAATATGAAAATAACTACATTAGATACAGATCGGCCAGATCTGTATCCCATGTTCCCACCCATGTCTCTCAGGGAACAGAAGATGCAACTAAGTGGAATTAATATTTTTCACCAACCATTTTCTATCTTATGCATTACTATCTTTTTGACTGCTCTGTTAAGACACTCAAAATTTGTTACCCCTTCAATCTCGCTCTGCTAAGTTATTTCTATTGATATGTAAATATGGGTATTTATTTCAAGCATGGAAAAGAGTTCAATTAGGACCTGGTCCAATCGTCAAAAACGATTGTAATTATACAAGGATACGTTGGAAGGACGAGCATTATAAATCTATGAATACAAGTACTAAAGAGTGGTATGACAAACTAAGAGGCAAAATAACCTCTGACTGTAAATACGTATACGTGTGGTCCAGTCCAGGAATGCTTAACACAGCAAGCACTACAGTAGGATTGTTGCCCATGAACTTTAATATGCAACGTAATATTAAGAAAGTTGTTTGCATGAGATCTAGTGATGATTCAACAACTAAATACTTATCAAACAATGCGGAGAACAATAAAATATGTGTCATTAAGAAGTAACAAAATATGTCTTTAGTTGGGATAAATTTAAGTCCTGACAAAATGTTTTTCCTACCTGAAAGAATAGCTGAGTACACTTCTTGGTACATTGATGGTAAATTTGTTTTGGTATTATGATTGATGGTAAAGGAAATGTCCTTATGATGATCTGTATACGATTGCAAAGGGATCCTCTACTCTACTTCAGACATTAATGAAACTCAACCAGGATTGGAAATTATAAACGAGTATTGAAAAGAAAAAGATCATTACCGCAGCTTGTTTCTGAAAAAGCAAATAACATAGATGAGCTGTTAATGTGTTCTAATGTACAGAAGAACAAAAAGAAAATCTCTTCATCAGTCTCACAAGTACAAAGAAGTGGAGATATAGCATTCGTCTCTACAAACAAAGATGATGAACTAAACGCATCATATTTGATAATAATAGAACTGTATAATTTGAAATAAAAAATTTAAGATAACAAAGAAACATACCGAGACTCCAAAAAAAAAAACAAAAATTATCGAACAAACCTTTTGCTTGAGACATTATTACCAGAAGATGGTGGTGTGAATAATGGAAATGACAAGTACAACAGAGTATTTGACAAGAAATCTATCAACAATAAGCGCTTTGTACATCTACACAGAAACCCCTCCACACGGATATGGAAGCCAGGCTCCAAAGGTTGCAGAAACAGTGTTAAGATCTTTGGAGTACAATAGAAAGAAAGAAGATAAAAGAACAATTAATATTGGAAATATCGACATAGAAAGACTACAATGGGAGAAAGAAGATGGAGTTTTCCCTCACGATAAAATACATGGCAATTACATCTGTAGTAAAGGAAATGACTATATCTTTTTTACATGATAATCTTACACAATTAACTACAGTAGTAAACAGGGTAATGGATTCCATCTTAAACCAAAGTTCAGATGTCTTAACCCAAGGAAGACAAACATTTTGCCCCTTTAGAGAACAAAGTGTTACAGCTGCTCAAGCCTATGAAATGGCATTTGACTTTTTGATTTTTAACACAGGAAGAGATTGTTTAAGCTTAGTAGATTGGATTCAAGCCATAATAGAGTGCTATGATAAAGGGGAATTGGACATTTGTAGGATGAAGGACATAACTTACGACATAGAAGAAATAGATCCTATAACCACTCAAAGAAGGAAAGTTCAAAAACGCAAACGCAAGATGGTGAAAGAAACAATCAAAGGTAAGAGAATGTAAGAGAAATTATGCAGCATCTAAGATGTAGTTTCGGTAAGAAAGATAGAAGGGCAATTGCATCTGCAACAATGTTACTAAGACCTTTCTTACATGTTATTGAAGATTTCCATTAAGAGTTGTCCAAAGGATTACCTGAATCAACTATCTCCATAGGAGGTGAAGAAAAGAAAGCAAAGATAACCTCAAATATGAAAATAACTACATTAGATACAGATCGGCCAGATCTGTATCCCATGTTCCCACCCATGTCTCTCAGGGAACAGAAGATGCAACTAAGTGGAATTAATATTTTTCACCAACCATTTTCTATCTTATGCATTACTATCTTTTTGACTGCTCTGTTAAGACACTCAAAATTTGTTACCCCTTCAATCTCGCTCTGCTAAGTTATTTCTATTGATATGTAAATATGGGTATTTATTTCAAGCATGGAAAAGAGTTCAATTAGGACCTGGTCCAATCGTCAAAAACGATTGTAATTATACAAGGATACGTTGGAAGGACGAGCATTATAAATCTATGAATACAAGTACTAAAGAGTGGTATGACAAACTAAGAGGCAAAATAACCTCTGACTGTAAATACGTATACGTGTGGTCCAGTCCAGGAATGCTTAACACAGCAAGCACTACAGTAGGATTGTTGCCCATGAACATTAATATGCAACGTAATATTAAGAAAGTCGTTTGCATGAGATCTAGTGATGATTCAACAACTAAATACTTATCAAACAATGCGGAGAACAATAAAATATGTGTCATTAAGAACAAACAAAATATGTCATTAGTTGGGATAAATTTAAGTCCTGACAAAATGTTTTTCCTACCTGAAAGAATAGCTGAGAACACTTCTTGGTACATTGATGGTAAATTTGTTTTGGTATTATGATTGATGGTAAAGGAAATGTCCTTATGATGATCTGTATACGATTGCAAAGGGATCCTCTACTCTACTTCAGACATTAATGAAACTCAACCAGGATTGGAAATAATAGACGAACCAGTATTGAAAAGAAAAAGATCATTACCGTAGCTTGTGTCTGAAAAAGCAAATAACATAGACGAACTGTTAATGCGTTCTAATGTACAGAAGAACATAAAGAAAATCTCTTCATCAGTCTCACAAGTACAAAGAAGTGGAGATACAGCATTCGTCTCTACAAACAAAGATGATGAACTAAACGCATCATATTTGATAAAAATATAACTGTATAATTTGAAAAATAAAATTTAAGATACCAAAGAAACATACCGAGACTCAAAAAAAAAACAAAAATTATCGAACAAATTCAATAAATAATTTATACTATGACAAAGGAAATATGTATAACAGATGGTTGTAAAAAATATAGTTTTATAAAGCAATAATTATAGCACGAAAATAAGTGGCTGTTATTAATAAACGTGTATAAAAGTTGTTTGTTAAGTACCATATTAAATAATTTATTTACAAAACAATATTTAAAATTATGAAAATTTACCATAATATCATAGGAATATAAAATAATTTTATTAAATATAAACTTGGAAATTTACAAGTAAATTAAAAAACAAGATTATTACCAGTCAAAGAAGTATGGAGAGAAGCATCATGAAAATCAAAAAGATACAAAAAATCCGCCATACCGCCATAAGACAGAAAACTAAAGTAATCGACGCACTCAGTTTCGCAAAGAAGCTAAAATGGCGATGGGCTGGACACACAGCCAGACTCAAGGATAATCGCTGGACCAAATCGACAACGTCATGGCTAGGACCACTGGGCCAAAGGAGAAGGGGTAGGCCAAATACGCGCTGGATAGACGATATTATAAAAATAGCAGGCACACACTGGATGCGAGAAGCTGAAGATAGAGAAAAATGGGCATCTTTGGAGGAGGCCTTTACCCTCCGTTGAGAGGGGTTCTTGTACCCATAAATATAAAAGCACCCAAAAGAATAAAGCTCTTAATATTTTATTGCATGCACACTGTTTTTGGATGTTTATTTTTTTTTTGTTCCTTTTAATTGTAAACCTATATTTTTTTATTCAAGAAATAAAAGGCTTTTTATTATTTGATTTTTTATAAAATAATTATATAAGCACTCAAACTTCACTTGTCTCATTAAAATAGATACATGCACGAGTATATTCTTTACTTCACAAACACAAGTAGATAAAATACTAGAAGATGAATTAATTCAGTTGTGTGAAAAAGTTGAATAAGCTGTTTTGTTTGCATCTCGTTTTCTTGAAGACTTCCAGCATGATTCGGATGGAACTCACTAAACGTATGTATGTTTTATATTCTTGTAAAGTTGAAATTTTATTAATATTTATTTCCTTTGGATAAAGTTATATTTATTATTTTAGTCAACTGCAACCACAAGCTGTTAGATCTCTAAAAAGGGGCTCTGAAAGTATTATCCTAATATGATAGGTAAAATGCAAAACGACAAAACTTGGAACTTCTAAGATCAACATTGACTGGTATTGTCTACACCCTTGCCAGCCTCTGCCCGGCCCGTGACGCTGACTCCGCGAACTCAACACAGAATCCCCTAATTAAACCATAGCGAGCGAATCTGAACCTATACCTTGAGTGATAAAATAAAGTTTGTTAAAACATTAATTTGTTTTTTTGCTCTTTTTACCTGAAGCCTAGGGGGTGCTTCTCACCCTCCATCTACAACTCCAACGCTTCAATGGCGCCCAACGTGCGGCACGCGGGTGTAGGAGAAGGCGACCGTCAGCGCCACGGCCATCGCCGCGGACTCGGCATATAGCGGCGACTGCCAAGAGACGTATGCTTCTCGCCGCTAAAGGTCTTGCCTGGGCTGCCTGGTGGGCGGTGGTCTCTGAGCGAGCAAGCGGCGGCGCGCGTGGTTGCGTAGCAGTAACAGATAGTAATTTGATATTAAAAATGGAGGATTACAAAAAAATGTTTTCAAAGAACCATAAACTAAATAGTTTAGTATCTTGTACTTTAAGCAGTGCAGGTAATGAAGAGATAAAGAAATTAATAATAAATGATTCATATATAAACCCTGAAGTCACTAATGGATATGCATATGATGAGCGGAACTTATCTATATACAAACCCACCACCTTATGGTTATGGAAGTCCTGTACCTTTTGTGGCTGCGTCAGTAAATATAGCATATAGTTATAATCACAAATCATGAGAAGATTCAACAAAAAAGATTAATGATTTCTCTATTATAGATGCGCAGATACCTGATATAAAAGATTTACCTGAGACCGGAATTTTAGGGAATTTTAACCCTTCTATTGTTTGGTTATTTGCTCAAATATTTTTAGTAAAGAATTTTCCTAATATTGAAAAATATTGTGAAAAAGTAATTGATTTCTTGAAATCTAGCAATTCAGATGTAATGAGTAAGGATAGACAAACTTGGGATCCTGAAACTCAAAAAAGTACAACTTGTTCTAAAACATTTAATGCTTTTCTAGCTCTGATTAAGAGAAATTTAGCTAAGACACCAAACACATTGATAGAGGCATTCATATTTTGGTATGAACTGTACTCGTACAATCAATCTCAATTGATAGTAATAAGAAAAAGAAGATATATAAAATAAAAAACAAGATTTGTTAAGAACTTGAAAATGTGATTAAAAATGACCCAAGTAAAATTTAAGTTAGAGAAAATCACAATCAATGGATGGAAAGAATGCAATCGTTTTTTAGATGATTACGCAAGAAGTTTTTACTCTTACATTAAACATGCAGAAAGAGGTAAGAAAGACAGAAGGGTTATAGCATCGGGTTCAATTGCATTGAGATTACACTTAAAGACTATAGAAGAGTTTTATTTACATTTATCTAAAGAATGACCAGGAAGCACAACAAGTATTGGTGGAGAAGAAAAGAAAAGTAAAATAATTAATGAATTACTAATGTCCTCATTAAAAGAGACTTTTATACAGAGTTATAGTTGACAAGCTACAGAAGATGCAACTGAATGGAATGAATGTTTGAACCCTTTACAATTAAATATTGTCCAGTAGTGCTGGTTTGATCCAGAAGTTAGAAAAAGAACATCCCCTTTGAAAACAAAAAGATTGTCATCTACTGAGACTCCCCGACTGTAGCTCAAGGTGCTAAGTTAACTAAGCAAAAGGCTCACAAAACTAAACAAATTGCAAGTTTGAGGATCCATATTGAAAGGGTGATCTGAAGGATGTGGGAACTTATAATGTTAAAACCTCATTCTGTCATAAATTCTAAATTGATACGAAAGCTAATTGATTGTTACAGTAACATGTGCTCTAATAAACTTGCTAGATAGCTTAGTCAAATGAATAAATTGTGATTTAATTTTTTTCCATTATTGTGATACTTCTTTTATATACATTTTTCCTATTAAATAAAACCATTGTCAAATTGTGTACATTTATTATTTTATTTAGTGCTTTCCTATAAAGAAGAGAATATATTTTTGTTGCAAAATTTACTTATACTAGAGATATAATGTATAACTAAAGTTTCATCATAATTCACTAGCAGCATTTCCACATTCTTAGATTCTTCAAAGTTCCAATCAGCAACACAGAAATAACAATATTTCAAATTTGTTACAAACATTTGGATTTGAATTTGTGGTATACATTTTTCTGTAACTTTATTATCTTTTATATAATTTTGGTATGACTTTTCATTAGTTGGGCACTTTATTTCTATACAATATTTTCTATCAAAAATACCATCAGGAGAACCAGCAATGAAAGGATATTTTGATGAAATAAATAACCCACACTCATTAACCTTTTTCCCTAATGTTTTTGCCACAATCACTTTTACTTGGCTTTCTAAGACTCGTCCTCTCTTCATGGCTTTTGTATCTGGTGTTTTGGCTCCCATAATCATAGCAGTTAAAGATCCATCCACAATGTGACATTTGCTTACTTCATAAGCTTTTGAAGCTGTAACTCAACCATATCTCATTTCGAGTATTCTCTTCAATCATTTCAATGTTTTGCTCAGTGAAATACTTTGATATTGTATCTTAAAATGCCTCACAATCACTCTTGTTACAATGCTCTATAATGAGATAATGAAGTTATAATTTCTCATGCTCTTTAACTCTGCTGGAGCTAGTATATTTCAGCAATTCACAGTTGGTAACATTTTGATTTTCCGCTGCTTGAAGAAATTGTGTCAGCACATTATTATGAGGTGGAAATTGAGTAGAGCGGGGTCTTTTGCCAGCCTATAAATACTTCACAGTAATATACTTCACACTAGTACCAACTTGAGCCAACTTTGATTTCTTACAGTAACACTGTATTTCAGTACAGGATGGCTCCTCACTTCGCCTGTGCACCCACAACAGGAAAGCTTCAACATGTTTACATCCAACTGATGAAGCAGCACAGTCATGGCACTGAACGCTGATGATTTTTGCTACTTTTTCGTCAACTATCATAGCCACGGCATAAGATTTTGACCGAACTTTATGCTCTGGACACACCTTTCATTTAATGGTGCATATACCCGCCTTGCACGATACATACTTCTATATATACGTTCGTATTTTTATACGATACGAATGTTTTATACGAATGTTTTCACACTCCTAAATTCAGCAGAACAAAAGTCGGAATTAGTGGCAAAGAAACTGCCGACCATGAAAATATCAACTTTTGGGAGATTTCTATTGTCGGCTTTTGTATAACCTTGTTCCATGATAAAAACTTAACAGAAGTCTTCAAGCACTTGCGACAACTTCTGTTATGACTATAGTCCTTCAATTCGTAATTAATTACAATTAAATATTTTTAGAAAAATGCAAATAAATCATAGAAAAACGCGAAATAACATACAAAGCAGTGTTGTTTACTTATTGCTAACCACAAATGACGTCACGCACTGTGATTGGCGTTTGGGTTCTTACGCTGCACAGATAAAAAATATTGGATTTACGCAACTTTATTTATTGATTTAAAATTATAAATCATTGTTATTTCTTAAAAATCTTCATTGAGTGATATTGTTGTATAACAAACTTTATTTTAAATCACATTTTAGATTTTTTTTCGATTACTGTCCGGTACCCTATTTTACAAGAAATCTATTAAAAATAAGCGCTTTGTACATCTACACAGAAACCCCTCCACACGGATATGGAAGCCAGGCTCCAAAGGTTGCAGAAACAATGTTAAGATCTTTGGAGTACAATAGAAAGAAAGAAGATAAAAGAACAATTAATATTGGAAATATCGACATAGAAAGACTACAATGGGAGAAAGAAGATGGAGTTTTCCCTCACGATGAAATACATGGAAATTACATTACATCTGTAGAAAAGGAAATGACTATATCTTTTTTAAATGATAATCTTACACAATTAACTACAGTAGTATACAGAGTAATGGATTCCATCTTAAACCAAAGTTCAGATGTCTTAACACAAGGAAGACAAACATTTTGCCCTTTAAGAGAACAAAGTGTTACAGCTGCTCAACCCTGCGAAATGGCATTTGACTTTTTGAATGTTAAAACAGGAAGAAATTGTTGGATTCAAGCCATAATAGAGTGCTTTGATAAAGAGGAATTGGACATTTGTAGGATGAAGAACATAACTTACGACATAGAAGAAATAGATCCTATAACCACTCAAAGAAGGAAAGTTCAAAAACGCAAACGCAAGATGGTGAAAGAAACAATCAAAGATAAAGAGAATGTAAGAGAAATTAAGCAGCATCTAACATGTAGTTTCGGTAAGAAAGATAGAAGAGCAATTGCATCTGCAACAATGTTACTAAGATCTTTCTTACATGTTATCGACGATTTCCATTAAAGAGTTGTCCAAAGGATTACCTGAATCAACTATCTCCATAGGAGGTGAAGAAAAGAAAGCAAAGATAACCTCAAATATGAAAATACCTACATTAGATACAGATCGGCCAGATCTGTATCCCATGTTCCCACCCATGTCTCTCAGGGAACAAAAGATGCAACCAAATGGAATTAATGTTTGTCACCAAGCATTTTCTATCTTATGCATTACTATCTTTCTGACTGCTCTGTTAAGACACTCATATTTGTTACCCCTTCCATCTCGCTCTGCTAAGTTATTTCTATTGATATGTAAATATGGGCATTTATTTCAAGCATGGAAACGAGTTCAATTAGGACCTGGTCCAATCGTTAAAAACGATTGTAATTATACAAGGATACATTGCGAGGACGAGGATTATAAATCTATGAATACAAGTACTAAAGAGTGGTATGACAAACTAATAGGCAATATAACCTCTGACCGTAAATACGTATACGTGTGGTCCAGTTCAGGAATGCTTAACACAGCAAGCACTACAGTAGGATTGTTGCCCATGAACTTTAATATGCAACGTAATATTAAGAAAGTTGTTTGCATGAGATCTAGTGATGATTCAACAACTAAATACTTATCAAACAATGCGGAGAACAATAAAATATGTGTCATTAAGAAGTAACAAAATATGTCTTTAGTTGGGATAAATTTAAGTCCTGACAAAATGTTTTTCCTACCTGAAAGAATAGCTGAGTACACTTCTTGGTACATTGATGGTAAATTTGTTTTGGTATTATGATTGATGGTAAAGGAAATGTCCTTATGATGATCTGTATACGATTGCAAAGGGATCCTCTACTCTACTTCAGACATTAATGAAACTCAACCAGGATTGGAAATTATAAACGAGTATTGAAAAGAAAAAGATCATTACCGCAGCTTGTTTCTGAAAAAGCAAATAACATAGATGAGCTGTTAATGTGTTCTAATGTACAGAAGAACAAAAAGAAAATCTCTTCATCAGTCTCACAAGTACAAAGAAGTGGAGATATAGCATTCGTCTCTACAAACAAAGATGATGAACTAAACGCATCATATTTGATAATAATAGAACTGTATAATTTGAAATAAAAAATTTAAGATAACAAAGAAACATACCGAGACTCCAAAAAAAAAAAACAAAAATTATCGAACAAACCTTTTGCTTGAGACATTATTACCAGAAGATGGTGGTGTGAATAATGGAAATGACAAGTACAACAGAGTATTTGACAAGAAATCTATCAACAATAAGCGCTTTGTACATCTACACAGAAACCCCTCCACACGGATATGGAAGCCAGGCTCCAAAGGTTGCAGAAACAGTGTTAAGATCTTTGGAGTACAATAGAAAGAAAGAAGATAAAAGAACAATTAATATTGGAAATATCGACATAGAAAGACTACAATGGGAGAAAGAAGATGGAGTTTTCCCTCACGATAAAATACATGGCAATTACATCTGTAGTAAAGGAAATGACTATATCTTTTTTACATGATAATCTTACACAATTAACTACAGTAGTAAACAGGGTAATGGATTCCATCTTAAACCAAAGTTCAGATGTCTTAACCCAAGGAAGACAAACATTTTGCCCCTTTAGAGAACAAAGTGTTACAGCTGCTCAAGCCTATGAAATGGCATTTGACTTTTTGATTTTTAACACAGGAAGAGATTGTTTAAGCTTAGTAGATTGGATTCAAGCCATAATAGAGTGCTATGATAAAGGGGAATTGGACATTTGTAGGATGAAGGACATAACTTACGACATAGAAGAAATAGATCCTATAACCACTCAAAGAAGGAAAGTTCAAAAACGCAAACGCAAGATGGTGAAAGAAACGATCAAAGGTAAGAGAATGTAAGAGAAATTATGCAGCATCTAAGATGTAGTTTCGGTAAGAAAGATAGAAGGGCAATTGCATCTGCAACAATGTTACTAAGACCTTTCTTACATGTTATTGAAGATTTCCATTAAGAGTTGTCCAAAGGATTACCTGAATCAACTATCTCCATAGGAGGTGAAGAAAAGAAAGCAAAGATAACCTCAAATATGAAAATAACTACATTAGATACAGATCGGCCAGATCTGTATCCCATGTTCCCACCCATGTCTCTCAGGGAACAGAAGATGCAACTAAGTGGAATTAATATTTTTCACCAACCATTTTCTATCTTATGCATTACTATCTTTTTGACTGCTCTGTTAAGACACTCAAAATTTGTTACCCCTTCAATCTCGCTCTGCTAAGTTATTTCTATTGATATGTAAATATGGGTATTTATTTCAAGCATGGAAAAGAGTTCAATTAGGACCTGGTCCAATCGTCAAAAACGATTGTAATTATACAAGGATACGTTGGAAGGACGAGCATTATAAATCTATGAATACAAGTACTAAAGAGTGGTATGACAAACTAAGAGGCAAAATAACCTCTGACTGTAAATACGTATACGTGTGGTCCAGTCCAGGAATGCTTAACACAGCAAGCACTACAGTAGGATTGTTGCCCATGAACTTTAATATGCAACGTAATATTAAGAAAGTTGTTTGCATGAGATCTAGTGATGATTCAACAACTAAATACTTATCAAACAATGCGGAGAACAATAAAATATGTGTCATTAAGAAGTAACAAAATATGTCTTTAGTTGGGATAAATTTAAGTCCTGACAAAATGTTTTTCCTACCTGAAAGAATAGCTGAGTACACTTCTTGGTACATTGATGGTAAATTTGTTTTGGTATTATGATTGATGGTAAAGGAAATGTCCTTATGATGATCTGTATACGATTGCAAAGGGATCCTCTACTCTACTTCAGACATTAATGAAACTCAACCAGGATTGGAAATTATAAACGAGTATTGAAAAGAAAAAGATCATTACCGCAGCTTGTTTCTGAAAAAGCAAATAACATAGATGAGCTGTTAATGTGTTCTAATGTACAGAAGAACAAAAAGAAAATCTCTTCATCAGTCTCACAAGTACAAAGAAGTGGAGATATAGCATTCGTCTCTACAAACAAAGATGATGAACTAAACGCATCATATTTGATAATAATAGAACTGTATAATTTGAAATAAAAAATTTAAGATAACAAAGAAACATACCGAGACTCCAAAAAAAAAAACAAAAATTATCGAACAAACCTTTTGCTTGAGACATTATTACCAGAAGATGGTGGTGTGAATAATGGAAATGACAAGTACAACAGAGTATTTGACAAGAAATCTATCAACAATAAGCGCTTTGTACATCTACACAGAAACCCCTCCACACGGATATGGAAGCCAGGCTCCAAAGGTTGCAGAAACAGTGTTAAGATCTTTGGAGTACAATAGAAAGAAAGAAGATAAAAGAACAATTAATATTGGAAATATCGACATAGAAAGACTACAATGGGAGAAAGAAGATGGAGTTTTCCCTCACGATAAAATACATGGCAATTACATCTGTAGTAAAGGAAATGACTATATCTTTTTTACATGATAATCTTACACAATTAACTACAGTAGTAAACAGGGTAATGGATTCCATCTTAAACCAAAGTTCAGATGTCTTAACCCAAGGAAGACAAACATTTTGCCCCTTTAGAGAACAAAGTGTTACAGCTGCTCAAGCCTATGAAATGGCATTTGACTTTTTGATTTTTAACACAGGAAGAGATTGTTTAAGCTTAGTAGATTGGATTCAAGCCATAATAGAGTGCTATGATAAAGGGGAATTGGACATTTGTAGGATGAAGGACATAACTTACGACATAGAAGAAATAGATCCTATAACCACTCAAAGAAGGAAAGTTCAAAAACGCAAACGCAAGATGGTGAAAGAAACAATCAAAGGTAAGAGAATGTAAGAGAAATTATGCAGCATCTAAGATGTAGTTTCGGTAAGAAAGATAGAAGGGCAATTGCATCTGCAACAATGTTACTAAGACCTTTCTTACATGTTATTGAAGATTTCCATTAAGAGTTGTCCAAAGGATTACCTGAATCAACTATCTCCATAGGAGGTGAAGAAAAGAAAGCAAAGATAACCTCAAATATGAAAATAACTACATTAGATACAGATCGGCCAGATCTGTATCCCATGTTCCCACCCATGTCTCTCAGGGAACAGAAGATGCAACTAAGTGGAATTAATATTTTTCACCAACCATTTTCTATCTTATGCATTACTATCTTTTTGACTGCTCTGTTAAGACACTCAAAATTTGTTACCCCTTCAATCTCGCTCTGCTAAGTTATTTCTATTGATATGTAAATATGGGTATTTATTTCAAGCATGGAAAAGAGTTCAATTAGGACCTGGTCCAATCGTCAAAAACGATTGTAATTATACAAGGATACGTTGGAAGGACGAGCATTATAAATCTATGAATACAAGTACTAAAGAGTGGTATGACAAACTAAGAGGCAAAATAACCTCTGACTGTAAATACGTATACGTGTGGTCCAGTCCAGGAATGCTTAACACAGCAAGCACTACAGTAGGATTGTTGCCCATGAACATTAATATGCAACGTAATATTAAGAAAGTCGTTTGCATGAGATCTAGTGATGATTCAACAACTAAATACTTATCAAACAATGCGGAGAACAATAAAATATGTGTCATTAAGAACAAACAAAATATGTCATTAGTTGGGATAAATTTAAGTCCTGACAAAATGTTTTTCCTACCTGAAAGAATAGCTGAGAACACTTCTTGGTACATTGATGGTAAATTTGTTTTGGTATTATGATTGATGGTAAAGGAAATGTCCTTATGATGATCTGTATACGATTGCAAAGGGATCCTCTACTCTACTTCAGACATTAATGAAACTCAACCAGGATTGGAAATAATAGACGAACCAGTATTGAAAAGAAAAAGATCATTACCGTAGCTTGTGTCTGAAAAAGCAAATAACATAGACGAACTGTTAATGCGTTCTAATGTACAGAAGAACATAAAGAAAATCTCTTCATCAGTCTCACAAGTACAAAGAAGTGGAGATACAGCATTCGTCTCTACAAACAAAGATGATGAACTAAACGCATCATATTTGATAAAAATATAACTGTATAATTTGAAAAATAAAATTTAAGATACCAAAGAAACATACCGAGACTCAAAAAAAAAACAAAAATTATCGAACAAATTCAATAAATAATTTATACTATGACAAAGGAAATATGTATAACAGATGGTTGTAAAAAATATAGTTTTATAAAGCAATAATTATAGCACGAAAATAAGTGGCTGTTATTAATAAACGTGTATAAAAGTTGTTTGTTAAGTACCATATTAAATAATTTATTTACAAAACAATATTTAAAATTATGAAAATTTACCATAATATCATAGGAATATAAAATAATTTTATTAAATATAAACTTGGAAATTTACAAGTAAATTAAAAAACAAGATTATTACCAGTCAAAGAAGTATGGAGAGAAGCATCATGAAAATCAAAAAGATACAAAAAATCCGCCATACCGCCATAAGACAGAAAACTAAAGTAATCGACGCACTCAGTTTCGCAAAGAAGCTAAAATGGCGATGGGCTGGACACACAGCCAGACTCAAGGATAATCGCTGGACCAAATCGACAACGTCATGGCTAGGACCACTGGGCCAAAGGAGAAGGGGTAGGCCAAATACGCGCTGGATAGACGATATTATAAAAATAGCAGGCACACACTGGATGCGAGAAGCTGAAGATAGAGAAAAATGGGCATCTTTGGAGGAGGCCTTTACCCTCCGTTGAGAGGGGTTCTTGTACCCATAAATATAAAAGCACCCAAAAGAATAAAGCTCTTAATATTTTATTGCATGCACACTGTTTTTGGATGTTTATTTTTTTTTTGTTCCTTTTAATTGTAAACCTATATTTTTTTATTCAAGAAATAAAAGGCTTTTTATTATTTGATTTTTTATAAAATAATTATATAAGCACTCAAACTTCACTTGTCTCATTAAAATAGATACATGCACGAGTATATTCTTTACTTCACAAACACAAGTAGATAAAATACTAGAAGATGAATTAATTCAGTTGTGTGAAAAAGTTGAATAAGCTGTTTTGTTTGCATCTCGTTTTCTTGAAGACTTCCAGCATGATTCGGATGGAACTCACTAAACGTATGTATGTTTTATATTCTTGTAAAGTTGAAATTTTATTAATATTTATTTCCTTTGGATAAAGTTATATTTATTATTTTAGTCAACTGCAACCACAAGCTGTTAGATCTCTAAAAAGGGGCTCTGAAAGTATTATCCTAATATGATAGGTAAAATGCAAAACGACAAAACTTGGAACTTCTAAGATCAACATTGACTGGTATTGTCTACACCCTTGCCAGCCTCTGCCCGGCCCGTGACGCTGACTCCGCGAACTCAACACAGAATCCCCTAATTAAACCATAGCGAGCGAATCTGAACCTATACCTTGAGTGATAAAATAAAGTTTGTTAAAACATTAATTTGTTTTTTTGCTCTTTTTACCTGAAGCCTAGGGGGTGCTTCTCACCCTCCATCTACAACTCCAACGCTTCAATGGCGCCCAACGTGCGGCACGCGGGTGTAGGAGAAGGCGACCGTCAGCGCCACGGCCATCGCCGCGGACTCGGCATATAGCGGCGACTGCCAAGAGACGTATGCTTCTCGCCGCTAAAGGTCTTGCCTGGGCTGCCTGGTGGGCGGTGGTCTCTGAGCGAGCAAGCGGCGGCGCGCGTGGTTGCGTAGCAGTAACAGATAGTAATTTGATATTAAAAATGGAGGATTACAAAAAAATGTTTTCAAAGAACCATAAACTAAATAGTTTAGTATCTTGTACTTTAAGCAGTGCAGGTAATGAAGAGATAAAGAAATTAATAATAAATGATTCATATATAAACCCTGAAGTCACTAATGGATATGCATATGATGAGCGGAACTTATCTATATACAAACCCACCACCTTATGGTTATGGAAGTCCTGTACCTTTTGTGGCTGCGTCAGTAAATATAGCATATAGTTATAATCACAAATCATGAGAAGATTCAACAAAAAAGATTAATGATTTCTCTATTATAGATGCGCAGATACCTGATATAAAAGATTTACCTGAGACCGGAATTTTAGGGAATTTTAACCCTTCTATTGTTTGGTTATTTGCTCAAATATTTTTAGTAAAGAATTTTCCTAATATTGAAAAATATTGTGAAAAAGTAATTGATTTCTTGAAATCTAGCAATTCAGATGTAATGAGTAAGGATAGACAAACTTGGGATCCTGAAACTCAAAAAAGTACAACTTGTTCTAAAACATTTAATGCTTTTCTAGCTCTGATTAAGAGAAATTTAGCTAAGACACCAAACACATTGATAGAGGCATTCATATTTTGGTATGAACTGTACTCGTACAATCAATCTCAATTGATAGTAATAAGAAAAAGAAGATATATAAAATAAAAAACAAGATTTGTTAAGAACTTGAAAATGTGATTAAAAATGACCCAAGTAAAATTTAAGTTAGAGAAAATCACAATCAATGGATGGAAAGAATGCAATCGTTTTTTAGATGATTACGCAAGAAGTTTTTACTCTTACATTAAACATGCAGAAAGAGGTAAGAAAGACAGAAGGGTTATAGCATCGGGTTCAATTGCATTGAGATTACACTTAAAGACTATAGAAGAGTTTTATTTACATTTATCTAAAGAATGACCAGGAAGCACAACAAGTATTGGTGGAGAAGAAAAGAAAAGTAAAATAATTAATGAATTACTAATGTCCTCATTAAAAGAGACTTTTATACAGAGTTATAGTTGACAAGCTACAGAAGATGCAACTGAATGGAATGAATGTTTGAACCCTTTACAATTAAATATTGTCCAGTAGTGCTGGTTTGATCCAGAAGTTAGAAAAAGAACATCCCCTTTGAAAACAAAAAGATTGTCATCTACTGAGACTCCCCGACTGTAGCTCAAGGTGCTAAGTTAACTAAGCAAAAGGCTCACAAAACTAAACAAATTGCAAGTTTGAGGATCCATATTGAAAGGGTGATCTGAAGGATGTGGGAACTTATAATGTTAAAACCTCATTCTGTCATAAATTCTAAATTGATACGAAAGCTAATTGATTGTTACAGTAACATGTGCTCTAATAAACTTGCTAGATAGCTTAGTCAAATGAATAAATTGTGATTTAATTTTTTTCCATTATTGTGATACTTCTTTTATATACATTTTTCCTATTAAATAAAACCATTGTCAAATTGTGTACATTTATTATTTTATTTAGTGCTTTCCTATAAAGAAGAGAATATATTTTTGTTGCAAAATTTACTTATACTAGAGATATAATGTATAACTAAAGTTTCATCATAATTCACTAGCAGCATTTCCACATTCTTAGATTCTTCAAAGTTCCAATCAGCAACACAGAAATAACAATATTTCAAATTTGTTACAAACATTTGGATTTGAATTTGTGGTATACATTTTTCTGTAACTTTATTATCTTTTATATAATTTTGGTATGACTTTTCATTAGTTGGGCACTTTATTTCTATACAATATTTTCTATCAAAAATACCATCAGGAGAACCAGCAATGAAAGGATATTTTGATGAAATAAATAACCCACACTCATTAACCTTTTTCCCTAATGTTTTTGCCACAATCACTTTTACTTGGCTTTCTAAGACTCGTCCTCTCTTCATGGCTTTTGTATCTGGTGTTTTGGCTCCCATAATCATAGCAGTTAAAGATCCATCCACAATGTGACATTTGCTTACTTCATAAGCTTTTGAAGCTGTAACTCAACCATATCTCATTTCGAGTATTCTCTTCAATCATTTCAATGTTTTGCTCAGTGAAATACTTTGATATTGTATCTTAAAATGCCTCACAATCACTCTTGTTACAATGCTCTATAATGAGATAATGAAGTTATAATTTCTCATGCTCTTTAACTCTGCTGGAGCTAGTATATTTCAGCAATTCACAGTTGGTAACATTTTGATTTTCCGCTGCTTGAAGAAATTGTGTCAGCACATTATTATGAGGTGGAAATTGAGTAGAGCGGGGTCTTTTGCCAGCCTATAAATACTTCACAGTAATATACTTCACACTAGTACCAACTTGAGCCAACTTTGATTTCTTACAGTAACACTGTATTTCAGTACAGGATGGCTCCTCACTTCGCCTGTGCACCCACAACAGGAAAGCTTCAACATGTTTACATCCAACTGATGAAGCAGCACAGTCATGGCACTGAACGCTGATGATTTTTGCTACTTTTTCGTCAACTATCATAGCCACGGCATAAGATTTTGACCGAACTTTATGCTCTGGACACACCTTTCATTTAATGGTGCATATACCCGCCTTGCACGATACATACTTCTATATATACGTTCGTATTTTTATACGATACGAATGTTTTATACGAATGTTTTCACACTCCTAAATTCAGCAGAACAAAAGTCGGAATTAGTGGCAAAGAAACTGCCGACCATGAAAATATCAACTTTTGGGAGATTTCTATTGTCGGCTTTTGTATAACCTTGTTCCATGATAAAAACTTAACAGAAGTCTTCAAGCACTTGCGACAACTTCTGTTATGACTATAGTCCTTCAATTCGTAATTAATTACAATTAAATATTTTTAGAAAAATGCAAATAAATCATAGAAAAACGCGAAATAACATACAAAGCAGTGTTGTTTACTTATTGCTAACCACAAATGACGTCACGCACTGTGATTGGCGTTTGGGTTCTTACGCTGCACAGATAAAAAATATTGGATTTACGCAACTTTATTTATTGATTTAAAATTATAAATCATTGTTATTTCTTAAAAATCTTCATTGAGTGATATTGTTGTATAACAAACTTTATTTTAAATCACATTTTAGATTTTTTTTCGATTACTGTCCGGTACCCTATTTTACAAGAAATCTATTAAAAATAAGCGCTTTGTACATCTACACAGAAACCCCTCCACACGGATATGGAAGCCAGGCTCCAAAGGTTGCAGAAACAATGTTAAGATCTTTGGAGTACAATAGAAAGAAAGAAGATAAAAGAACAATTAATATTGGAAATATCGACATAGAAAGACTACAATGGGAGAAAGAAGATGGAGTTTTCCCTCACGATGAAATACATGGAAATTACATTACATCTGTAGAAAAGGAAATGACTATATCTTTTTTAAATGATAATCTTACACAATTAACTACAGTAGTATACAGAGTAATGGATTCCATCTTAAACCAAAGTTCAGATGTCTTAACACAAGGAAGACAAACATTTTGCCCTTTAAGAGAACAAAGTGTTACAGCTGCTCAACCCTGCGAAATGGCATTTGACTTTTTGAATGTTAAAACAGGAAGAAATTGTTGGATTCAAGCCATAATAGAGTGCTTTGATAAAGAGGAATTGGACATTTGTAGGATGAAGAACATAACTTACGACATAGAAGAAATAGATCCTATAACCACTCAAAGAAGGAAAGTTCAAAAACGCAAACGCAAGATGGTGAAAGAAACAATCAAAGATAAAGAGAATGTAAGAGAAATTAAGCAGCATCTAACATGTAGTTTCGGTAAGAAAGATAGAAGAGCAATTGCATCTGCAACAATGTTACTAAGATCTTTCTTACATGTTATCGACGATTTCCATTAAAGAGTTGTCCAAAGGATTACCTGAATCAACTATCTCCATAGGAGGTGAAGAAAAGAAAGCAAAGATAACCTCAAATATGAAAATACCTACATTAGATACAGATCGGCCAGATCTGTATCCCATGTTCCCACCCATGTCTCTCAGGGAACAAAAGATGCAACCAAATGGAATTAATGTTTGTCACCAAGCATTTTCTATCTTATGCATTACTATCTTTCTGACTGCTCTGTTAAGACACTCATATTTGTTACCCCTTCCATCTCGCTCTGCTAAGTTATTTCTATTGATATGTAAATATGGGCATTTATTTCAAGCATGGAAACGAGTTCAATTAGGACCTGGTCCAATCGTTAAAAACGATTGTAATTATACAAGGATACATTGCGAGGACGAGGATTATAAATCTATGAATACAAGTACTAAAGAGTGGTATGACAAACTAATAGGCAATATAACCTCTGACCGTAAATACGTATACGTGTGGTCCAGTTCAGGAATGCTTAACACAGCAAGCACTACAGTAGGATTGTTGCCCATGAACTTTAATATGCAACGTAATATTAAGAAAGTTGTTTGCATGAGATCTAGTGATGATTCAACAACTAAATACTTATCAAACAATGCGGAGAACAATAAAATATGTGTCATTAAGAAGTAACAAAATATGTCTTTAGTTGGGATAAATTTAAGTCCTGACAAAATGTTTTTCCTACCTGAAAGAATAGCTGAGTACACTTCTTGGTACATTGATGGTAAATTTGTTTTGGTATTATGATTGATGGTAAAGGAAATGTCCTTATGATGATCTGTATACGATTGCAAAGGGATCCTCTACTCTACTTCAGACATTAATGAAACTCAACCAGGATTGGAAATTATAAACGAGTATTGAAAAGAAAAAGATCATTACCGCAGCTTGTTTCTGAAAAAGCAAATAACATAGATGAGCTGTTAATGTGTTCTAATGTACAGAAGAACAAAAAGAAAATCTCTTCATCAGTCTCACAAGTACAAAGAAGTGGAGATATAGCATTCGTCTCTACAAACAAAGATGATGAACTAAACGCATCATATTTGATAATAATAGAACTGTATAATTTGAAATAAAAAATTTAAGATAACAAAGAAACATACCGAGACTCCAAAAAAAAAAAACAAAAATTATCGAACAAACCTTTTGCTTGAGACATTATTACCAGAAGATGGTGGTGTGAATAATGGAAATGACAAGTACAACAGAGTATTTGACAAGAAATCTATCAACAATAAGCGCTTTGTACATCTACACAGAAACCCCTCCACACGGATATGGAAGCCAGGCTCCAAAGGTTGCAGAAACAGTGTTAAGATCTTTGGAGTACAATAGAAAGAAAGAAGATAAAAGAACAATTAATATTGGAAATATCGACATAGAAAGACTACAATGGGAGAAAGAAGATGGAGTTTTCCCTCACGATAAAATACATGGCAATTACATCTGTAGTAAAGGAAATGACTATATCTTTTTTACATGATAATCTTACACAATTAACTACAGTAGTAAACAGGGTAATGGATTCCATCTTAAACCAAAGTTCAGATGTCTTAACCCAAGGAAGACAAACATTTTGCCCCTTTAGAGAACAAAGTGTTACAGCTGCTCAAGCCTATGAAATGGCATTTGACTTTTTGATTTTTAACACAGGAAGAGATTGTTTAAGCTTAGTAGATTGGATTCAAGCCATAATAGAGTGCTATGATAAAGGGGAATTGGACATTTGTAGGATGAAGGACATAACTTACGACATAGAAGAAATAGATCCTATAACCACTCAAAGAAGGAAAGTTCAAAAACGCAAACGCAAGATGGTGAAAGAAACGATCAAAGGTAAGAGAATGTAAGAGAAATTATGCAGCATCTAAGATGTAGTTTCGGTAAGAAAGATAGAAGGGCAATTGCATCTGCAACAATGTTACTAAGACCTTTCTTACATGTTATTGAAGATTTCCATTAAGAGTTGTCCAAAGGATTACCTGAATCAACTATCTCCATAGGAGGTGAAGAAAAGAAAGCAAAGATAACCTCAAATATGAAAATAACTACATTAGATACAGATCGGCCAGATCTGTATCCCATGTTCCCACCCATGTCTCTCAGGGAACAGAAGATGCAACTAAGTGGAATTAATATTTTTCACCAACCATTTTCTATCTTATGCATTACTATCTTTTTGACTGCTCTGTTAAGACACTCAAAATTTGTTACCCCTTCAATCTCGCTCTGCTAAGTTATTTCTATTGATATGTAAATATGGGTATTTATTTCAAGCATGGAAAAGAGTTCAATTAGGACCTGGTCCAATCGTCAAAAACGATTGTAATTATACAAGGATACGTTGGAAGGACGAGCATTATAAATCTATGAATACAAGTACTAAAGAGTGGTATGACAAACTAAGAGGCAAAATAACCTCTGACTGTAAATACGTATACGTGTGGTCCAGTCCAGGAATGCTTAACACAGCAAGCACTACAGTAGGATTGTTGCCCATGAACTTTAATATGCAACGTAATATTAAGAAAGTTGTTTGCATGAGATCTAGTGATGATTCAACAACTAAATACTTATCAAACAATGCGGAGAACAATAAAATATGTGTCATTAAGAAGTAACAAAATATGTCTTTAGTTGGGATAAATTTAAGTCCTGACAAAATGTTTTTCCTACCTGAAAGAATAGCTGAGTACACTTCTTGGTACATTGATGGTAAATTTGTTTTGGTATTATGATTGATGGTAAAGGAAATGTCCTTATGATGATCTGTATACGATTGCAAAGGGATCCTCTACTCTACTTCAGACATTAATGAAACTCAACCAGGATTGGAAATTATAAACGAGTATTGAAAAGAAAAAGATCATTACCGCAGCTTGTTTCTGAAAAAGCAAATAACATAGATGAGCTGTTAATGTGTTCTAATGTACAGAAGAACAAAAAGAAAATCTCTTCATCAGTCTCACAAGTACAAAGAAGTGGAGATATAGCATTCGTCTCTACAAACAAAGATGATGAACTAAACGCATCATATTTGATAATAATAGAACTGTATAATTTGAAATAAAAAATTTAAGATAACAAAGAAACATACCGAGACTCCAAAAAAAAAAACAAAAATTATCGAACAAACCTTTTGCTTGAGACATTATTACCAGAAGATGGTGGTGTGAATAATGGAAATGACAAGTACAACAGAGTATTTGACAAGAAATCTATCAACAATAAGCGCTTTGTACATCTACACAGAAACCCCTCCACACGGATATGGAAGCCAGGCTCCAAAGGTTGCAGAAACAGTGTTAAGATCTTTGGAGTACAATAGAAAGAAAGAAGATAAAAGAACAATTAATATTGGAAATATCGACATAGAAAGACTACAATGGGAGAAAGAAGATGGAGTTTTCCCTCACGATAAAATACATGGCAATTACATCTGTAGTAAAGGAAATGACTATATCTTTTTTACATGATAATCTTACACAATTAACTACAGTAGTAAACAGGGTAATGGATTCCATCTTAAACCAAAGTTCAGATGTCTTAACCCAAGGAAGACAAACATTTTGCCCCTTTAGAGAACAAAGTGTTACAGCTGCTCAAGCCTATGAAATGGCATTTGACTTTTTGATTTTTAACACAGGAAGAGATTGTTTAAGCTTAGTAGATTGGATTCAAGCCATAATAGAGTGCTATGATAAAGGGGAATTGGACATTTGTAGGATGAAGGACATAACTTACGACATAGAAGAAATAGATCCTATAACCACTCAAAGAAGGAAAGTTCAAAAACGCAAACGCAAGATGGTGAAAGAAACAATCAAAGGTAAGAGAATGTAAGAGAAATTATGCAGCATCTAAGATGTAGTTTCGGTAAGAAAGATAGAAGGGCAATTGCATCTGCAACAATGTTACTAAGACCTTTCTTACATGTTATTGAAGATTTCCATTAAGAGTTGTCCAAAGGATTACCTGAATCAACTATCTCCATAGGAGGTGAAGAAAAGAAAGCAAAGATAACCTCAAATATGAAAATAACTACATTAGATACAGATCGGCCAGATCTGTATCCCATGTTCCCACCCATGTCTCTCAGGGAACAGAAGATGCAACTAAGTGGAATTAATATTTTTCACCAACCATTTTCTATCTTATGCATTACTATCTTTTTGACTGCTCTGTTAAGACACTCAAAATTTGTTACCCCTTCAATCTCGCTCTGCTAAGTTATTTCTATTGATATGTAAATATGGGTATTTATTTCAAGCATGGAAAAGAGTTCAATTAGGACCTGGTCCAATCGTCAAAAACGATTGTAATTATACAAGGATACGTTGGAAGGACGAGCATTATAAATCTATGAATACAAGTACTAAAGAGTGGTATGACAAACTAAGAGGCAAAATAACCTCTGACTGTAAATACGTATACGTGTGGTCCAGTCCAGGAATGCTTAACACAGCAAGCACTACAGTAGGATTGTTGCCCATGAACATTAATATGCAACGTAATATTAAGAAAGTCGTTTGCATGAGATCTAGTGATGATTCAACAACTAAATACTTATCAAACAATGCGGAGAACAATAAAATATGTGTCATTAAGAACAAACAAAATATGTCATTAGTTGGGATAAATTTAAGTCCTGACAAAATGTTTTTCCTACCTGAAAGAATAGCTGAGAACACTTCTTGGTACATTGATGGTAAATTTGTTTTGGTATTATGATTGATGGTAAAGGAAATGTCCTTATGATGATCTGTATACGATTGCAAAGGGATCCTCTACTCTACTTCAGACATTAATGAAACTCAACCAGGATTGGAAATAATAGACGAACCAGTATTGAAAAGAAAAAGATCATTACCGTAGCTTGTGTCTGAAAAAGCAAATAACATAGACGAACTGTTAATGCGTTCTAATGTACAGAAGAACATAAAGAAAATCTCTTCATCAGTCTCACAAGTACAAAGAAGTGGAGATACAGCATTCGTCTCTACAAACAAAGATGATGAACTAAACGCATCATATTTGATAAAAATATAACTGTATAATTTGAAAAATAAAATTTAAGATACCAAAGAAACATACCGAGACTCAAAAAAAAAACAAAAATTATCGAACAAATTCAATAAATAATTTATACTATGACAAAGGAAATATGTATAACAGATGGTTGTAAAAAATATAGTTTTATAAAGCAATAATTATAGCACGAAAATAAGTGGCTGTTATTAATAAACGTGTATAAAAGTTGTTTGTTAAGTACCATATTAAATAATTTATTTACAAAACAATATTTAAAATTATGAAAATTTACCATAATATCATAGGAATATAAAATAATTTTATTAAATATAAACTTGGAAATTTACAAGTAAATTAAAAAACAAGATTATTACCAGTCAAAGAAGTATGGAGAGAAGCATCATGAAAATCAAAAAGATACAAAAAATCCGCCATACCGCCATAAGACAGAAAACTAAAGTAATCGACGCACTCAGTTTCGCAAAGAAGCTAAAATGGCGATGGGCTGGACACACAGCCAGACTCAAGGATAATCGCTGGACCAAATCGACAACGTCATGGCTAGGACCACTGGGCCAAAGGAGAAGGGGTAGGCCAAATACGCGCTGGATAGACGATATTATAAAAATAGCAGGCACACACTGGATGCGAGAAGCTGAAGATAGAGAAAAATGGGCATCTTTGGAGGAGGCCTTTACCCTCCGTTGAGAGGGGTTCTTGTACCCATAAATATAAAAGCACCCAAAAGAATAAAGCTCTTAATATTTTATTGCATGCACACTGTTTTTGGATGTTTATTTTTTTTTTGTTCCTTTTAATTGTAAACCTATATTTTTTTATTCAAGAAATAAAAGGCTTTTTATTATTTGATTTTTTATAAAATAATTATATAAGCACTCAAACTTCACTTGTCTCATTAAAATAGATACATGCACGAGTATATTCTTTACTTCACAAACACAAGTAGATAAAATACTAGAAGATGAATTAATTCAGTTGTGTGAAAAAGTTGAATAAGCTGTTTTGTTTGCATCTCGTTTTCTTGAAGACTTCCAGCATGATTCGGATGGAACTCACTAAACGTATGTATGTTTTATATTCTTGTAAAGTTGAAATTTTATTAATATTTATTTCCTTTGGATAAAGTTATATTTATTATTTTAGTCAACTGCAACCACAAGCTGTTAGATCTCTAAAAAGGGGCTCTGAAAGTATTATCCTAATATGATAGGTAAAATGCAAAACGACAAAACTTGGAACTTCTAAGATCAACATTGACTGGTATTGTCTACACCCTTGCCAGCCTCTGCCCGGCCCGTGACGCTGACTCCGCGAACTCAACACAGAATCCCCTAATTAAACCATAGCGAGCGAATCTGAACCTATACCTTGAGTGATAAAATAAAGTTTGTTAAAACATTAATTTGTTTTTTTGCTCTTTTTACCTGAAGCCTAGGGGGTGCTTCTCACCCTCCATCTACAACTCCAACGCTTCAATGGCGCCCAACGTGCGGCACGCGGGTGTAGGAGAAGGCGACCGTCAGCGCCACGGCCATCGCCGCGGACTCGGCATATAGCGGCGACTGCCAAGAGACGTATGCTTCTCGCCGCTAAAGGTCTTGCCTGGGCTGCCTGGTGGGCGGTGGTCTCTGAGCGAGCAAGCGGCGGCGCGCGTGGTTGCGTAGCAGTAACAGATAGTAATTTGATATTAAAAATGGAGGATTACAAAAAAATGTTTTCAAAGAACCATAAACTAAATAGTTTAGTATCTTGTACTTTAAGCAGTGCAGGTAATGAAGAGATAAAGAAATTAATAATAAATGATTCATATATAAACCCTGAAGTCACTAATGGATATGCATATGATGAGCGGAACTTATCTATATACAAACCCACCACCTTATGGTTATGGAAGTCCTGTACCTTTTGTGGCTGCGTCAGTAAATATAGCATATAGTTATAATCACAAATCATGAGAAGATTCAACAAAAAAGATTAATGATTTCTCTATTATAGATGCGCAGATACCTGATATAAAAGATTTACCTGAGACCGGAATTTTAGGGAATTTTAACCCTTCTATTGTTTGGTTATTTGCTCAAATATTTTTAGTAAAGAATTTTCCTAATATTGAAAAATATTGTGAAAAAGTAATTGATTTCTTGAAATCTAGCAATTCAGATGTAATGAGTAAGGATAGACAAACTTGGGATCCTGAAACTCAAAAAAGTACAACTTGTTCTAAAACATTTAATGCTTTTCTAGCTCTGATTAAGAGAAATTTAGCTAAGACACCAAACACATTGATAGAGGCATTCATATTTTGGTATGAACTGTACTCGTACAATCAATCTCAATTGATAGTAATAAGAAAAAGAAGATATATAAAATAAAAAACAAGATTTGTTAAGAACTTGAAAATGTGATTAAAAATGACCCAAGTAAAATTTAAGTTAGAGAAAATCACAATCAATGGATGGAAAGAATGCAATCGTTTTTTAGATGATTACGCAAGAAGTTTTTACTCTTACATTAAACATGCAGAAAGAGGTAAGAAAGACAGAAGGGTTATAGCATCGGGTTCAATTGCATTGAGATTACACTTAAAGACTATAGAAGAGTTTTATTTACATTTATCTAAAGAATGACCAGGAAGCACAACAAGTATTGGTGGAGAAGAAAAGAAAAGTAAAATAATTAATGAATTACTAATGTCCTCATTAAAAGAGACTTTTATACAGAGTTATAGTTGACAAGCTACAGAAGATGCAACTGAATGGAATGAATGTTTGAACCCTTTACAATTAAATATTGTCCAGTAGTGCTGGTTTGATCCAGAAGTTAGAAAAAGAACATCCCCTTTGAAAACAAAAAGATTGTCATCTACTGAGACTCCCCGACTGTAGCTCAAGGTGCTAAGTTAACTAAGCAAAAGGCTCACAAAACTAAACAAATTGCAAGTTTGAGGATCCATATTGAAAGGGTGATCTGAAGGATGTGGGAACTTATAATGTTAAAACCTCATTCTGTCATAAATTCTAAATTGATACGAAAGCTAATTGATTGTTACAGTAACATGTGCTCTAATAAACTTGCTAGATAGCTTAGTCAAATGAATAAATTGTGATTTAATTTTTTTCCATTATTGTGATACTTCTTTTATATACATTTTTCCTATTAAATAAAACCATTGTCAAATTGTGTACATTTATTATTTTATTTAGTGCTTTCCTATAAAGAAGAGAATATATTTTTGTTGCAAAATTTACTTATACTAGAGATATAATGTATAACTAAAGTTTCATCATAATTCACTAGCAGCATTTCCACATTCTTAGATTCTTCAAAGTTCCAATCAGCAACACAGAAATAACAATATTTCAAATTTGTTACAAACATTTGGATTTGAATTTGTGGTATACATTTTTCTGTAACTTTATTATCTTTTATATAATTTTGGTATGACTTTTCATTAGTTGGGCACTTTATTTCTATACAATATTTTCTATCAAAAATACCATCAGGAGAACCAGCAATGAAAGGATATTTTGATGAAATAAATAACCCACACTCATTAACCTTTTTCCCTAATGTTTTTGCCACAATCACTTTTACTTGGCTTTCTAAGACTCGTCCTCTCTTCATGGCTTTTGTATCTGGTGTTTTGGCTCCCATAATCATAGCAGTTAAAGATCCATCCACAATGTGACATTTGCTTACTTCATAAGCTTTTGAAGCTGTAACTCAACCATATCTCATTTCGAGTATTCTCTTCAATCATTTCAATGTTTTGCTCAGTGAAATACTTTGATATTGTATCTTAAAATGCCTCACAATCACTCTTGTTACAATGCTCTATAATGAGATAATGAAGTTATAATTTCTCATGCTCTTTAACTCTGCTGGAGCTAGTATATTTCAGCAATTCACAGTTGGTAACATTTTGATTTTCCGCTGCTTGAAGAAATTGTGTCAGCACATTATTATGAGGTGGAAATTGAGTAGAGCGGGGTCTTTTGCCAGCCTATAAATACTTCACAGTAATATACTTCACACTAGTACCAACTTGAGCCAACTTTGATTTCTTACAGTAACACTGTATTTCAGTACAGGATGGCTCCTCACTTCGCCTGTGCACCCACAACAGGAAAGCTTCAACATGTTTACATCCAACTGATGAAGCAGCACAGTCATGGCACTGAACGCTGATGATTTTTGCTACTTTTTCGTCAACTATCATAGCCACGGCATAAGATTTTGACCGAACTTTATGCTCTGGACACACCTTTCATTTAATGGTGCATATACCCGCCTTGCACGATACATACTTCTATATATACGTTCGTATTTTTATACGATACGAATGTTTTATACGAATGTTTTCACACTCCTAAATTCAGCAGAACAAAAGTCGGAATTAGTGGCAAAGAAACTGCCGACCATGAAAATATCAACTTTTGGGAGATTTCTATTGTCGGCTTTTGTATAACCTTGTTCCATGATAAAAACTTAACAGAAGTCTTCAAGCACTTGCGACAACTTCTGTTATGACTATAGTCCTTCAATTCGTAATTAATTACAATTAAATATTTTTAGAAAAATGCAAATAAATCATAGAAAAACGCGAAATAACATACAAAGCAGTGTTGTTTACTTATTGCTAACCACAAATGACGTCACGCACTGTGATTGGCGTTTGGGTTCTTACGCTGCACAGATAAAAAATATTGGATTTACGCAACTTTATTTATTGATTTAAAATTATAAATCATTGTTATTTCTTAAAAATCTTCATTGAGTGATATTGTTGTATAACAAACTTTATTTTAAATCACATTTTAGATTTTTTTTCGATTACTGTCCGGTACCCTATTTTACAAGAAATCTATTAAAAATAAGCGCTTTGTACATCTACACAGAAACCCCTCCACACGGATATGGAAGCCAGGCTCCAAAGGTTGCAGAAACAATGTTAAGATCTTTGGAGTACAATAGAAAGAAAGAAGATAAAAGAACAATTAATATTGGAAATATCGACATAGAAAGACTACAATGGGAGAAAGAAGATGGAGTTTTCCCTCACGATGAAATACATGGAAATTACATTACATCTGTAGAAAAGGAAATGACTATATCTTTTTTAAATGATAATCTTACACAATTAACTACAGTAGTATACAGAGTAATGGATTCCATCTTAAACCAAAGTTCAGATGTCTTAACACAAGGAAGACAAACATTTTGCCCTTTAAGAGAACAAAGTGTTACAGCTGCTCAACCCTGCGAAATGGCATTTGACTTTTTGAATGTTAAAACAGGAAGAAATTGTTGGATTCAAGCCATAATAGAGTGCTTTGATAAAGAGGAATTGGACATTTGTAGGATGAAGAACATAACTTACGACATAGAAGAAATAGATCCTATAACCACTCAAAGAAGGAAAGTTCAAAAACGCAAACGCAAGATGGTGAAAGAAACAATCAAAGATAAAGAGAATGTAAGAGAAATTAAGCAGCATCTAACATGTAGTTTCGGTAAGAAAGATAGAAGAGCAATTGCATCTGCAACAATGTTACTAAGATCTTTCTTACATGTTATCGACGATTTCCATTAAAGAGTTGTCCAAAGGATTACCTGAATCAACTATCTCCATAGGAGGTGAAGAAAAGAAAGCAAAGATAACCTCAAATATGAAAATACCTACATTAGATACAGATCGGCCAGATCTGTATCCCATGTTCCCACCCATGTCTCTCAGGGAACAAAAGATGCAACCAAATGGAATTAATGTTTGTCACCAAGCATTTTCTATCTTATGCATTACTATCTTTCTGACTGCTCTGTTAAGACACTCATATTTGTTACCCCTTCCATCTCGCTCTGCTAAGTTATTTCTATTGATATGTAAATATGGGCATTTATTTCAAGCATGGAAACGAGTTCAATTAGGACCTGGTCCAATCGTTAAAAACGATTGTAATTATACAAGGATACATTGCGAGGACGAGGATTATAAATCTATGAATACAAGTACTAAAGAGTGGTATGACAAACTAATAGGCAATATAACCTCTGACCGTAAATACGTATACGTGTGGTCCAGTTCAGGAATGCTTAACACAGCAAGCACTACAGTAGGATTGTTGCCCATGAACTTTAATATGCAACGTAATATTAAGAAAGTTGTTTGCATGAGATCTAGTGATGATTCAACAACTAAATACTTATCAAACAATGCGGAGAACAATAAAATATGTGTCATTAAGAAGTAACAAAATATGTCTTTAGTTGGGATAAATTTAAGTCCTGACAAAATGTTTTTCCTACCTGAAAGAATAGCTGAGTACACTTCTTGGTACATTGATGGTAAATTTGTTTTGGTATTATGATTGATGGTAAAGGAAATGTCCTTATGATGATCTGTATACGATTGCAAAGGGATCCTCTACTCTACTTCAGACATTAATGAAACTCAACCAGGATTGGAAATTATAAACGAGTATTGAAAAGAAAAAGATCATTACCGCAGCTTGTTTCTGAAAAAGCAAATAACATAGATGAGCTGTTAATGTGTTCTAATGTACAGAAGAACAAAAAGAAAATCTCTTCATCAGTCTCACAAGTACAAAGAAGTGGAGATATAGCATTCGTCTCTACAAACAAAGATGATGAACTAAACGCATCATATTTGATAATAATAGAACTGTATAATTTGAAATAAAAAATTTAAGATAACAAAGAAACATACCGAGACTCCAAAAAAAAAAAACAAAAATTATCGAACAAACCTTTTGCTTGAGACATTATTACCAGAAGATGGTGGTGTGAATAATGGAAATGACAAGTACAACAGAGTATTTGACAAGAAATCTATCAACAATAAGCGCTTTGTACATCTACACAGAAACCCCTCCACACGGATATGGAAGCCAGGCTCCAAAGGTTGCAGAAACAGTGTTAAGATCTTTGGAGTACAATAGAAAGAAAGAAGATAAAAGAACAATTAATATTGGAAATATCGACATAGAAAGACTACAATGGGAGAAAGAAGATGGAGTTTTCCCTCACGATAAAATACATGGCAATTACATCTGTAGTAAAGGAAATGACTATATCTTTTTTACATGATAATCTTACACAATTAACTACAGTAGTAAACAGGGTAATGGATTCCATCTTAAACCAAAGTTCAGATGTCTTAACCCAAGGAAGACAAACATTTTGCCCCTTTAGAGAACAAAGTGTTACAGCTGCTCAAGCCTATGAAATGGCATTTGACTTTTTGATTTTTAACACAGGAAGAGATTGTTTAAGCTTAGTAGATTGGATTCAAGCCATAATAGAGTGCTATGATAAAGGGGAATTGGACATTTGTAGGATGAAGGACATAACTTACGACATAGAAGAAATAGATCCTATAACCACTCAAAGAAGGAAAGTTCAAAAACGCAAACGCAAGATGGTGAAAGAAACGATCAAAGGTAAGAGAATGTAAGAGAAATTATGCAGCATCTAAGATGTAGTTTCGGTAAGAAAGATAGAAGGGCAATTGCATCTGCAACAATGTTACTAAGACCTTTCTTACATGTTATTGAAGATTTCCATTAAGAGTTGTCCAAAGGATTACCTGAATCAACTATCTCCATAGGAGGTGAAGAAAAGAAAGCAAAGATAACCTCAAATATGAAAATAACTACATTAGATACAGATCGGCCAGATCTGTATCCCATGTTCCCACCCATGTCTCTCAGGGAACAGAAGATGCAACTAAGTGGAATTAATATTTTTCACCAACCATTTTCTATCTTATGCATTACTATCTTTTTGACTGCTCTGTTAAGACACTCAAAATTTGTTACCCCTTCAATCTCGCTCTGCTAAGTTATTTCTATTGATATGTAAATATGGGTATTTATTTCAAGCATGGAAAAGAGTTCAATTAGGACCTGGTCCAATCGTCAAAAACGATTGTAATTATACAAGGATACGTTGGAAGGACGAGCATTATAAATCTATGAATACAAGTACTAAAGAGTGGTATGACAAACTAAGAGGCAAAATAACCTCTGACTGTAAATACGTATACGTGTGGTCCAGTCCAGGAATGCTTAACACAGCAAGCACTACAGTAGGATTGTTGCCCATGAACTTTAATATGCAACGTAATATTAAGAAAGTTGTTTGCATGAGATCTAGTGATGATTCAACAACTAAATACTTATCAAACAATGCGGAGAACAATAAAATATGTGTCATTAAGAAGTAACAAAATATGTCTTTAGTTGGGATAAATTTAAGTCCTGACAAAATGTTTTTCCTACCTGAAAGAATAGCTGAGTACACTTCTTGGTACATTGATGGTAAATTTGTTTTGGTATTATGATTGATGGTAAAGGAAATGTCCTTATGATGATCTGTATACGATTGCAAAGGGATCCTCTACTCTACTTCAGACATTAATGAAACTCAACCAGGATTGGAAATTATAAACGAGTATTGAAAAGAAAAAGATCATTACCGCAGCTTGTTTCTGAAAAAGCAAATAACATAGATGAGCTGTTAATGTGTTCTAATGTACAGAAGAACAAAAAGAAAATCTCTTCATCAGTCTCACAAGTACAAAGAAGTGGAGATATAGCATTCGTCTCTACAAACAAAGATGATGAACTAAACGCATCATATTTGATAATAATAGAACTGTATAATTTGAAATAAAAAATTTAAGATAACAAAGAAACATACCGAGACTCCAAAAAAAAAAACAAAAATTATCGAACAAACCTTTTGCTTGAGACATTATTACCAGAAGATGGTGGTGTGAATAATGGAAATGACAAGTACAACAGAGTATTTGACAAGAAATCTATCAACAATAAGCGCTTTGTACATCTACACAGAAACCCCTCCACACGGATATGGAAGCCAGGCTCCAAAGGTTGCAGAAACAGTGTTAAGATCTTTGGAGTACAATAGAAAGAAAGAAGATAAAAGAACAATTAATATTGGAAATATCGACATAGAAAGACTACAATGGGAGAAAGAAGATGGAGTTTTCCCTCACGATAAAATACATGGCAATTACATCTGTAGTAAAGGAAATGACTATATCTTTTTTACATGATAATCTTACACAATTAACTACAGTAGTAAACAGGGTAATGGATTCCATCTTAAACCAAAGTTCAGATGTCTTAACCCAAGGAAGACAAACATTTTGCCCCTTTAGAGAACAAAGTGTTACAGCTGCTCAAGCCTATGAAATGGCATTTGACTTTTTGATTTTTAACACAGGAAGAGATTGTTTAAGCTTAGTAGATTGGATTCAAGCCATAATAGAGTGCTATGATAAAGGGGAATTGGACATTTGTAGGATGAAGGACATAACTTACGACATAGAAGAAATAGATCCTATAACCACTCAAAGAAGGAAAGTTCAAAAACGCAAACGCAAGATGGTGAAAGAAACAATCAAAGGTAAGAGAATGTAAGAGAAATTATGCAGCATCTAAGATGTAGTTTCGGTAAGAAAGATAGAAGGGCAATTGCATCTGCAACAATGTTACTAAGACCTTTCTTACATGTTATTGAAGATTTCCATTAAGAGTTGTCCAAAGGATTACCTGAATCAACTATCTCCATAGGAGGTGAAGAAAAGAAAGCAAAGATAACCTCAAATATGAAAATAACTACATTAGATACAGATCGGCCAGATCTGTATCCCATGTTCCCACCCATGTCTCTCAGGGAACAGAAGATGCAACTAAGTGGAATTAATATTTTTCACCAACCATTTTCTATCTTATGCATTACTATCTTTTTGACTGCTCTGTTAAGACACTCAAAATTTGTTACCCCTTCAATCTCGCTCTGCTAAGTTATTTCTATTGATATGTAAATATGGGTATTTATTTCAAGCATGGAAAAGAGTTCAATTAGGACCTGGTCCAATCGTCAAAAACGATTGTAATTATACAAGGATACGTTGGAAGGACGAGCATTATAAATCTATGAATACAAGTACTAAAGAGTGGTATGACAAACTAAGAGGCAAAATAACCTCTGACTGTAAATACGTATACGTGTGGTCCAGTCCAGGAATGCTTAACACAGCAAGCACTACAGTAGGATTGTTGCCCATGAACATTAATATGCAACGTAATATTAAGAAAGTCGTTTGCATGAGATCTAGTGATGATTCAACAACTAAATACTTATCAAACAATGCGGAGAACAATAAAATATGTGTCATTAAGAACAAACAAAATATGTCATTAGTTGGGATAAATTTAAGTCCTGACAAAATGTTTTTCCTACCTGAAAGAATAGCTGAGAACACTTCTTGGTACATTGATGGTAAATTTGTTTTGGTATTATGATTGATGGTAAAGGAAATGTCCTTATGATGATCTGTATACGATTGCAAAGGGATCCTCTACTCTACTTCAGACATTAATGAAACTCAACCAGGATTGGAAATAATAGACGAACCAGTATTGAAAAGAAAAAGATCATTACCGTAGCTTGTGTCTGAAAAAGCAAATAACATAGACGAACTGTTAATGCGTTCTAATGTACAGAAGAACATAAAGAAAATCTCTTCATCAGTCTCACAAGTACAAAGAAGTGGAGATACAGCATTCGTCTCTACAAACAAAGATGATGAACTAAACGCATCATATTTGATAAAAATATAACTGTATAATTTGAAAAATAAAATTTAAGATACCAAAGAAACATACCGAGACTCAAAAAAAAAACAAAAATTATCGAACAAATTCAATAAATAATTTATACTATGACAAAGGAAATATGTATAACAGATGGTTGTAAAAAATATAGTTTTATAAAGCAATAATTATAGCACGAAAATAAGTGGCTGTTATTAATAAACGTGTATAAAAGTTGTTTGTTAAGTACCATATTAAATAATTTATTTACAAAACAATATTTAAAATTATGAAAATTTACCATAATATCATAGGAATATAAAATAATTTTATTAAATATAAACTTGGAAATTTACAAGTAAATTAAAAAACAAGATTATTACCAGTCAAAGAAGTATGGAGAGAAGCATCATGAAAATCAAAAAGATACAAAAAATCCGCCATACCGCCATAAGACAGAAAACTAAAGTAATCGACGCACTCAGTTTCGCAAAGAAGCTAAAATGGCGATGGGCTGGACACACAGCCAGACTCAAGGATAATCGCTGGACCAAATCGACAACGTCATGGCTAGGACCACTGGGCCAAAGGAGAAGGGGTAGGCCAAATACGCGCTGGATAGACGATATTATAAAAATAGCAGGCACACACTGGATGCGAGAAGCTGAAGATAGAGAAAAATGGGCATCTTTGGAGGAGGCCTTTACCCTCCGTTGAGAGGGGTTCTTGTACCCATAAATATAAAAGCACCCAAAAGAATAAAGCTCTTAATATTTTATTGCATGCACACTGTTTTTGGATGTTTATTTTTTTTTTGTTCCTTTTAATTGTAAACCTATATTTTTTTATTCAAGAAATAAAAGGCTTTTTATTATTTGATTTTTTATAAAATAATTATATAAGCACTCAAACTTCACTTGTCTCATTAAAATAGATACATGCACGAGTATATTCTTTACTTCACAAACACAAGTAGATAAAATACTAGAAGATGAATTAATTCAGTTGTGTGAAAAAGTTGAATAAGCTGTTTTGTTTGCATCTCGTTTTCTTGAAGACTTCCAGCATGATTCGGATGGAACTCACTAAACGTATGTATGTTTTATATTCTTGTAAAGTTGAAATTTTATTAATATTTATTTCCTTTGGATAAAGTTATATTTATTATTTTAGTCAACTGCAACCACAAGCTGTTAGATCTCTAAAAAGGGGCTCTGAAAGTATTATCCTAATATGATAGGTAAAATGCAAAACGACAAAACTTGGAACTTCTAAGATCAACATTGACTGGTATTGTCTACACCCTTGCCAGCCTCTGCCCGGCCCGTGACGCTGACTCCGCGAACTCAACACAGAATCCCCTAATTAAACCATAGCGAGCGAATCTGAACCTATACCTTGAGTGATAAAATAAAGTTTGTTAAAACATTAATTTGTTTTTTTGCTCTTTTTACCTGAAGCCTAGGGGGTGCTTCTCACCCTCCATCTACAACTCCAACGCTTCAATGGCGCCCAACGTGCGGCACGCGGGTGTAGGAGAAGGCGACCGTCAGCGCCACGGCCATCGCCGCGGACTCGGCATATAGCGGCGACTGCCAAGAGACGTATGCTTCTCGCCGCTAAAGGTCTTGCCTGGGCTGCCTGGTGGGCGGTGGTCTCTGAGCGAGCAAGCGGCGGCGCGCGTGGTTGCGTAGCAGTAACAGATAGTAATTTGATATTAAAAATGGAGGATTACAAAAAAATGTTTTCAAAGAACCATAAACTAAATAGTTTAGTATCTTGTACTTTAAGCAGTGCAGGTAATGAAGAGATAAAGAAATTAATAATAAATGATTCATATATAAACCCTGAAGTCACTAATGGATATGCATATGATGAGCGGAACTTATCTATATACAAACCCACCACCTTATGGTTATGGAAGTCCTGTACCTTTTGTGGCTGCGTCAGTAAATATAGCATATAGTTATAATCACAAATCATGAGAAGATTCAACAAAAAAGATTAATGATTTCTCTATTATAGATGCGCAGATACCTGATATAAAAGATTTACCTGAGACCGGAATTTTAGGGAATTTTAACCCTTCTATTGTTTGGTTATTTGCTCAAATATTTTTAGTAAAGAATTTTCCTAATATTGAAAAATATTGTGAAAAAGTAATTGATTTCTTGAAATCTAGCAATTCAGATGTAATGAGTAAGGATAGACAAACTTGGGATCCTGAAACTCAAAAAAGTACAACTTGTTCTAAAACATTTAATGCTTTTCTAGCTCTGATTAAGAGAAATTTAGATAAGACACCAAGCACATTGATAGAGGCATTCATATTTTGGTATGAACTGTACTCGTACAATCAATCTCAATAGATAGTAATAAGAAAAATAAGATATATAAAATCAAAAACAAGATTTGTTAAGAACTTGAAAATGTGATTAAAAATGACCCAAGTAAAATTTAAGTTAGAGAAAATCACAATCAATGGATGGAAAGAATGCAATCGTTTTTTAGATGATTACGCAAGAAGTTTTTGCTCTTACATTAAACATGCAGAAAGAGGTAAGAAAGATAGAAGGGCTAAAGCATCGGGTTCAATTGCATTGAGATTACACTTAAAGACAAAAGAAGAGTTTTATTTACATTTATCTAAAGAATGACCAGGAAGCACAATAAGTATTGGTGGAGAAGAAAAGAATAGTAAAATAATTAATGAATTACAAATGTCCTCATTAAAAGAGAATTTTATACAGAGTTATAGTTTACAAGCTACAGAAGATGCAACTAAATGGAATAAATGTTTGAACCCTTTACAATTAAATATTGTCCAGTAGTGCTGGTTTGATCCAGAAGTTAGAAAAAGAAACAATCTACATCCTCCAACAGATGAACAGATCACATTAGAAAAAAATTGTACAGTTTTATTATTTATTGATTAAAATAATTCATTTAGGCATTGGGTTCTTCTTAGAAAATGACAATTTTTTCACTAGAATCCCTATGTCTGAAACTTTCAATGTTGAGTGAACACAATCAGAAATGGTATAGTGTGATTCATGATAAAGTTGATAATGAAGATTATATACCAGCATCACCAGGTTTCTTAATGGGAATGCTTAATGCAGGATCAACTACAATGGGTCTTGTTGCTATAGGTGGGATAGATATTCCTAATACTAAAATAACAAGCTTAAGATCAAGTGATGATTCTATGACAGCATTTGTTGCTAATTCAATTTAATCACTATCTACTTTAATTGGATTGACATATAGCATATATAGATTATTCGGTATTAATCCAAGTAGAGAAAAGACTATTTTATTTCCAGAATCCTATGGGGAATATACTAGTTGGTATCAAGATAGAGATTTTGTAGGGCAATATGGAGTAGAAACTAGCTTTTTAAAACCAATGGGAAAGATGCCTTAAGAAGATTTTAATTTAGTTGCAGCAAACACCCTTCAATTAATGAGAACTCACATAATAAATGTCATGGGAACAATGTCTCGAATTGCAGTGGGTATAGACAATGTAAGAAGACTCTGGAACATAAAGGATTGTAGAGGAATGTCGAAAAAAGATAAATTGACAAGGGAAGTAATTTTTCTAGCAGATGGGGGTGCAAATCCTTGGATTATTGAGAACCTAGCTTCTGATGAGGCTAGTATAAGATTCAATAATATTGTTACCCAACTACATAAGGAATACTTTTACAAAGTAATGGATCCAGGGAACCCTTTTTCTGAACCAAGTGAAGAACTGCTGATGACATGATTTCTCAATTTCGCAATATTTCGTATGAAGAACATGGATTGGGTCGTACTTCATTAATAATGCATGCTATCGATACGGGTCATGCCGCCCCTATAAGGCAAAGGTACTATCGAATGTCTCTACAAAAACAGCAAATTCTTTGTCAACAATTGGATGAAATGTTGGAGGAAGACGATGTGGAACCATGTGAAAGTCCTTGGTATAACCCGGTTCTCCTAACCCCAAAGAAAAACGGAGAGTATAGATTTTGTTTAGATAGTAGGAAGTTGAAATCCGTCACACGTAAAGATGCCTATAGTCTAAATCCAGAAGTTAGAAAAAAAACAATCTACCTCCTCCAACAGATGAACAGATCACATTAGAAAAAAATTGTAAAGTTTTAATTATTTATTGATATATAAATGCGTAAAATACGACTATTACAGAAAATATTTTAATGAAAATCATGGCTACAGATTCGGTCGCCCACAAGTGGACGTTTGCTCAATTTGCGAAGAACTCGACGCGAAAATAAAAAGTCCATCTCTCAATGAGAATGCGAACAAAGTGGCGGTTGCAGAAAAAATTATACATCTTAAACGTGCTAAAAAAAATTATAATAAACAGAAAGAAATTTTGGCACTGTGTCAAGAAAGAGAAGATGTAGGAGCCATTGTATTTGATTATATGCAAAATCTGCCGATTCCTAAGATCCCAGTTCAAGAGATGTTTTATTTGAGAAAACTATGGCTGTATGTGTGTTCACGACTTAAAGACGAATTCTGCTAATTTCTACACTTACCATGAGGGTGAAGCTAAACGAGGCCCCGACGAAGTATGCAGTTTATTGTGGAAAACGGTACAGACTATGGATCCCTCTGTCAAAGAACTACACATTTTTAGCGATGCTTGTGGAGGACAAAATAGAAATAATACCCTTATAAGATTCTTACTCACTCTTGTTGCAACAAATCGTTTTGAGAAAATATATCAATACTTTCCTGTCCGTGGCCACTCGTTTCCACAATGTGATAGAAATTTTGGCACAGCTAAAAGACTCATTAGGCGAAAGGACAGAATTTACGTTCCAAATGAATATGAGAATTTAATTTTGGCAGCAAAAACCAAGGGGTTTACAGTTACACCTGTTACTTCAGATGACATACTTGATTTTAAAAATTCATGGCAGCAATGTTTTAAAAAAAGCTGTAAGTCATTAGACAAGGCAACAACATTCAAGATCTCGCAATATCGAAGCTTTGAGTATAGTTCAAGTCATAAAGGTTACTTGACATGTTCCGAATTTATCGATGGTTTCGTTCGCAAAAATGTACCATTTATCGATGGTACATTTTTGCTTCAAAAACCTTCTACGAACCCGAAAATACCAGAAAATCCGGCATATGTTACTAAAATACCCATAAATGAGAAAAAAATGAATGACATTACAAAAATAACCCAATACATACCCGAGGAATTCAAAAAATTTTACGATATTATTCTGTCTTGGCCAACTACAGCTTTTGTATTCATAATGTATATTATTTCAAATAATTTTGTACATAGATCTTATAAATTGGAAGAAGGGAATAAATCTAACACATTTACATGTATATATATAAATGAGTATTATATATTTAAACCAGATCTTATATTCTTCTTATCTTATTTTCTTTAATATCAGTGATGTGACATGAGCCTATAAGTGGAAAGTAAAAAGTTATAAAGTTTTTTTTTTAATTATCTCTAATCATGTTTTTTTGGATTAATTCCCTTTTTCCAATTTGTGGTTCAATTATTGTAAAGGGGAACTTTCTGCAGGTATGTCATATGTCAAATAATAGTATAACTATTTCCTTACGTTAAATCTTAAATATTGTTAGTCCGCTAACTGATCATAAGTTATTTATGAAGTAGTATACATATTAGAAAACAGCTAATGTGATGTGTCTTCCTGTAAGAAAAGTGATCACATAATTAAAGAGTTGGTTTAGCTATTTATTTTGTTGTATTTTAGTTCTAGGAGTTTCATCTATGTCGTCTAGACCAGTGTTTTCACATGTTCAACAAAATGAGCAGGATATGAATGAAATTCAAAGAGGTGAGCATAGAAGAATGAACTATTTTGTGAACTATTTTGTTTTATAAATTGCTATTATATCCCTATTAAAATTCCACTTTGTATAATGGTATGATTTTCGTTATAGTCTATTTATTTTGTTGCAGGTGCTACTTTAACTGGTGATGGACTTGTACCAACTGGTGAATCTGTCGCAAGAAAGCGCTTAGGTAAAAAGTTTTCAACAGCTGTCTCCTATGGCAAAGCGCATTTTTAAGGAATATAAAAAATCAAAAGCCCAAAACAGTTATCACCTACGCGCTAAAAGAGCACTGAAATTTTGTAAAGAAAAAGCGTTTATGAAATTAACTGATGATATGAATCCATTTGCCAAAAAGTTTTTGTCAATGCAAATAAATTTGATTAAAAAGAAGAAAAAAGCAAGGAGATTTTCATTAGATGAAAAACTTATAGCATTGGCTATTATGAAACAAAGCCCGAAATGCTATAGATTTTTACAAAAGATATTTATTCTGCCATCTGCAACAACCTTAAACAAAATGGTCTCTAATCTAAATATTGAAGCAAGCATAAATTCAAAATTATTCAAAGTAATGAAAAAAGAGGTCAGAGTATATTTTGATAATTATTTTAATGAATTAATAATAATAATATAATTAATAATAAGTATGGTAAAATTTATTTCATGATACTGTATTTAAATAGAGTAAAAAATTTCATCCATGCTCTTTCTTTTACAGGTTGCTACCTGGAAAGATCATAAAAAATACTGTACAATATTTTTTGGTGGGATGTCTTTGGGGATGGGTTTATCATATGATAAAAAAAAAGATATAGTCCATGGGTTTATGGACTTGCAAGAAAGGAAACCACAGTTTGCAGATCATGTCCTCGTTTTTATGATAAGAGGAGCCCTTTTCAAGTGGCAACAACCAATAGCCTATTTCTTTTGCGAAGGGGCTACCTCATGGCATGACATGAAAGCGATTGTGAAAAGGGTAATTCTTGCTGTTGCTGAAACAGGATTGAAACCAACTGCACTTGCTTGTGACCAAGGTACTTCTTTTCAAACAACTATTAAAAGCTTTCAAGAAGACACTAAAAAGGACCGAATTCTCAATAACATACAACCTGGTATGTATATTTATATTTTTTTCATTTAAAATACTGTTTTTCTTTTGTAAATATTTTAAATTACTAATCGATTTGATTGATTGATTACAGATGATACAATCACAATAAATTATATTAAATTAAATATAATCTTTGATCCTTACCATTTAATAAAAGGCATACGCAACAATTTCCTGACAAAGAATATAGAATTTCAGGGAAAAATATCAAAATGGCAAGATATTATTGATGTCTGTCTTCTCTTTGGTGCTATTTTAATGGAAACAAACGAATACTTGGAGTGCAATGCCCATAAAAATAATATAAGACACTTTATTTGACATAATTTCTTCCAAGTATTCGTTTGACTTCATTAACTGCGAGCATTGTAGAATAGTTGCATCTTATTTTATAGATTTCACAATAAGGTTTGGAATGAACATGATCAATAAGATTTTAAAGGGTGTGGACGTTTTCAGATTGAAAAATAGAGCTTTGCCCAATTATCAGGCATTTAAAAAAATATTTAAAGAAAATTAAAAATAAATCTTTTAATAAATAGATGTCTGCTTTTTTCAAAATGTTTGTAATGTTTGTTTGGAGACTCATGAGACTTCGTAACATTTATTATTTCTATGTATTATTATTGTTCCAAATAAAAACAAATAAATAGACAATTGTTTTATTTTCCAATATGTATACAATTTCGAATTTACAATAAAGACTATCTATATTAAAGACTATCTTAAAGAAAAATGCTTAAAAAATTTCACCACAAGAACTGGTGAATTTTTTTAAGCATTTTTCTTTAAGATATTAATATTTTCAAACTCGCTGTAGCTAGGAACTAAGGCAAGCCAATCAGCATGAAGTCGAGGCCATAAATTTAACGGCTCACAATCGCAATAAAAAAAGTAAAAAAAAACAAAAATGTCATTTTCTTTCAGAAGTATACGTATTAAAATTATTGTATGGGAGATGTTAGTCTGATACGTAGTATCTTCTTCTTGGTTTGTGGCGGCTCATAGTGGTGAAATAGTATTTAAATAACTTCTCGCGAATCAATACATTCATTTTTAAGTGATTTTCCAAAATTGTAAGTTAGTGTTAAATAACCCCGAAATCAGGTGAGTGTTCTAATTTATTTAATTTTTACTGCTCGCTTATAAGTTATTACCTTAGAGTATTTTATTTTTAAAATCACAAGTCCAATAAGTAACTTTAAATTCTAAATCTATTCCGCTATTATATAATGTTTAGCATTTTCATTGAATATTATTACTGAAGTAAAAATCCAGTTCTTAACCTAATGTTCGATAATATTTTTATTCTATTTCAATAAAAGTGAAATAGATATTTAAGGAAAGAAATATTATAAAATTTTCGCTATACTTAAAGTAATAACATTCATAAAACAATATATTGAAACAAAACGGAGTTCTGAGACTATGCAAAATTAACATTTTATTATTTTTCTACCTTACAGATTTCATATTGAATTTTGTCTGCTAAAAATTAAATAACAAAGTCAAACTCAAAGTCAAAATAATCTTTATTCAAATAGACTTCTTAAAAGTACTTTTGAATCGTCCAACATTGTTTTCCCTACCACTCGTTCAGGACGTCTTTTGGCCGATAAGAAGAACGAGCAAGAAACTCACCAGCTCTAATAAAAGTAATGACATTTACAAAAACCATGTCATTACCAGACCAATACATTATAAACAGAGATAGAGAAAAAATAAATAAATATGGTCTTATAATGATAACATAATCATTTAATAATAATGGAACAAGATAATGAGTTGAGAAGTAATCACCTATCCAGTTGCTGGATCATCTCAAGTCCAAGCGTTCTTATCTGTTATATAATCGGATACCTTAATATAATCGATACATTTTCCGAATGCTAGATATTTCAGTTTCAATTCGTGATTTTGTTACCATCTCAGGTTCGATTCCCGGGTTGTGCTATAAATAATATTTGATAACCTTGAAATTTAGATGATTTTAAATGTAACACTTAGTGCTTTAATTTTACTTGAAGTACGGGTTCGATTCCCGTATAATATAATATATTAGTAATTGTATTTTTTTAACTTACATATTATTATCATAGCATCTTTTAACTTCATTCTAAATGATTTTTAATATCATTTGAAACACACGTTTTTTTATTTTTTTTAGCCGGTAGATTTTTATAGAAGCTATAGCAAATGCAGCTAATTGTTCCAGGCATTAGGTAGCCGCACTTATTGAACTTCTATTCAGTGCTTATTTATATTAACAGGGTTCTTCTTCTACACGAGTCCTCTTGACTTACGCTGCTCTGCGTTGTGCCTGAGCTTCGTGGATCTTCAGTGCTGCTGACCGGAGCTGACGACGGGTCTACACCCTTGTCAGCCTCTGCCCGGCCCGTGACGCTGAACCCGCGAACTCATTACATAATCCCCTAATTTAACTAGAAAGCTAACTCCTCCCCTCATAATACCAGAAACAAGAACCATAGCGAGCGAATATCTTTACCTACCCCCTGAGAACAAAAATAAAGATTGTTAAAACTTCATTTTAGTCTTATTCTTTTTACCTAAAGCCAAGTGGGTGCTTCTCCCGCCCATCTACAACCTCACGATTCACACCCGATAGTGAAACTCAACCAGGATTGGAAATAATAGACGAACCAGTATTGAAAAGAAAAAGATCATTACCGTAGCTTGTGTCTGAAAAAGCAAATAACATAGACGAACTGTTAATGCGTTCTAATGTACAGAAGAACATAAAGAAAATCTCTTCATCAGTCCTACAAGTACAAAAAAGCGGCTCTACAAAGATGATGAACTAAACGCATCATATTTGATAAAAATAAAATTTGAAAAAAAATTGAAGATACCAAAGAAACATACCGAGACGAAGATAAAATATTACACATCTCCAAAACAACAAAAATTATCGAACAAATTCAATAAATAATTTATACTATGACAAAGAAAATATGTACAGCAGATGATTGTAAACAATATAGTTCCAAAATGCAATAATTATAAACGCACTCAAACTTCACAAACATAAGTAGATAAAATACTAGAAGATGACTTAATTCTGTTGTGTGAAAAAGTTGAACAAGCTGATTCGTTTGCATCTCGTTTGCTTGAAGACTTCCATCATGATTCGGATGGAACTCACAAAACGTACATGTACATATATTTTATATTCTTGTAAAGTTGAAAATTTATTTATATTTATTTCCTACGGATAAAGTTTTATTTATTATTTTAGTCAAATGCAACCACAAGCTGGTGAATCGCTAAAAAAGAGCTCTGAAAGTATTATCCATGAGAGAGATGCAAAACGACGAAACTTGGAACTTGTAAGATCATTGATAGACACAGCTTCAACATCGACTGGTATTGGACTCTATGGAATAGCAGTATCTTCAACTTCGACTAATACACCAATAGACCACCACACAGGTAACATTGTCGATAAAGTAATTTGTAAATCTTGATAGCGAACAAAAAAGGTAGAGGATGCAGACTAAAAAAGGCACCCATCTTTGTATGTTTAGCAACATAAGCTGTCCACATCTAACTCGTCACTGAGCTGACGTCACAAGGTTTCTTAGTGGCCCTAAACCGGTTTGTAGCTCGTAGAGGCCGACCTCTAACCATTTTTTCAGACAATGGCACCAATTTTGTTGGTACCTGTAATGAGTTGTGCAAATTTTAAAAACACTATAATAAAAACATAAGTTTCCTCTGCAGCTGAGCAAAGTGTAAATTTTACCAACATATAGCCCACACTTTAACACTAGAGTACACGCGCGGCCTACTATAGTAGACCAGGGTTGCTCTTTTTGTCGTAACCTTTTTTTTTTGCGCGCCATAAAGTAACGGTTCTAGGTAAGCCTCGTCTGGTATATTTGTTACAACCTCAGTACCCCGCGCAATCCCCGTGAGAACGCATGTGCGAGAAATTTGGCACCAAAAACGCAAGCTTACTAAAGTAGTCCGCGCGTGTATTGGTGTAACTAAATCAGGTAAGTAACTTTTAGTCTATTATCAATTTAAAATGCTTTTATAATGTTTTCCAGTTATTATACGCATATATATTTGCATATTTACCAAATAATTGTTATTTTAAAATTGTAAAATGATTATTATAATTTTTTTTTACAGATTTAGAATCGATTACGTCATGGATGATTCACAAGTGGAAAGGTGGCTACATGAGCTAGATATTGATGATGAAGATATGTCTGAGAGTGAAGATGATGAAGTTGAGCCAGAACCAGACTTACAGTCTCTAGTTCGTGAGTATGAACTCCAGGAAAAAGAAGAGGAAAGGTTGAGTGATTCTGACGAAACATCTAATTCAGATGACACTCCACTCTCGCAAGTAGCATCCGGAAGGCACGGTTCAGTCTACAAATCGAAGAACGGAACTATTTGGCACAAAAATATGCCATCAGTAACGCGAACTCGAGCTCAAAACATTAGGATTAGACCACCAGGTCCAAAAGGAGATGCAGCTAAGAATGCTAAGGATGCATTATCCTGTTTTGAATTATTTTTTACTCAAGATATCTTAGAAATCTTAGTAACATGCACAAATTTATATATATATATAAAATAAAAGACAATTTTCAACGAAATAGGGATGCTAAACCCACTGATAGAGTGGAAATGAGAGCATTTCTGGGCATATTGTACGTCATGGGAGTGTCACGAAGTGGACGGCGTAACATAAAGGACTTTTGGGATAACTCTCTGGGTACTGGATTGGAAATTGTATATGCCACAATGTCAATAAATAGATTCCGGTTCTTGATACGTGCCCTAAGATTCGACGACGTTACTGACAGAGAACAACGCCGAGAACTTGATAAAATGGCACCGATTCGACAAGTTGTAGAGCTAGTTACCAATAATTGTCGTAACAACTATGTTCCTAGCGATTATTTGACTCTAGACGAACAACTTGTCGGTTTTCGAGGACGTTGCGGCTTCATAATGTACATACCAAATAAACCAGATAAGTTCGGAATTAAGATTTTCATGGTTGTTGATACAAAATTTCCGTATGTGTATAACTTTGAGATATATGTTGGAGCGCAACCGAAAGGTCCGTTTCAGAAGTCCAATAAGGTTAACGACGTTGTCTATAGAGTACTAGATCCACTTCATGATTTGGGCTGTAATGTATCTATGGACAATTATTTTACAAACCTGTTTCTGGCTAAAGAGTTATTGAGGAAGAAAATAACGATAGTTGGTACTATGAAAGCAAATAGACCTGAAATCCCTAAGGAATTCAAAGCTTCGAAGTCTAGGACTAGTAAAAGTTGCCTTTTTGGGTTTCAAAAAGACGTCACTCTTGTATCCTATGTTCCTAAAATAAACAAGGCGGTTAATTTACTGTCTACAATGCATTATGATGCAGCTATCGATCCTGACACAAACGAAGAACGCAAACCAGAGATTATTACTTTTTATAATCGTACTAAATGTGGAGTAGACATCTTAGACAAAATGTGCAAGCAGTATAGTGTTCTCCGTAACAGCCGTCGATGGCCACTAACAATATTTTTCGATTTAATGAACATTGCTGGAATTAATGCTCTGGTAATCAACCAATTGAATGCTTCACCCAAAAAAATTATTAGGCGTAACTTTTTGCACGAATTGGCCTTCAATTTGATAAAACCACTTTTGATTCGTCGGGCATCAGTTGAAACACTTCCCCGGCAACTTAAATTCAGGATCGGTGTACTTTTGGGTAGCACAGCTCTAGAATCCCAAGAATCTCAACACGATTTGACACCAAAGACAGGACGAGTTGGTCGATGTGCACTCTGCTCGAGAGCCCGAAATCGGTCGACAAAAAAGTGGTGTAAAACTTGCTACAAATGGATTTGTCCCGATCACCAAGCAGTTGTGTGTCCTGAATGCTACGAAATTAAAGAAAACAGTAATTAATTGTCGTGTTATTAAAAAAAAAATATTGTTGGCCTCAGAAATGCCATTTTTGTTAGTTTTTCTTACATGTTTACTTTAATGCTAATTGTTCACTATTTTAAATAATATATTTATATTGTAATGTTATAATACTAAGTAAAATAAATGAGTTTTCCATTCCATTTATTATTTTATTAAAATAATTAGGAATACCCAATTTATTGACATTTTAATATGGCCTAATATAGTAGGCCACGCGTGTACTTAAGTAAAGAAAAGGGGCGCGTGTACCGTAGTGTTAACGGCTCAGCAGAAGGTTCAGTAAAGTCAGTCAAACACCATCTGAAACGGGTACTTTTCGAGGCTCACTTAGATTACGAAGAAATGAATTCTGTACATATTCTACACAGATTGAAGCAATATAATATTCCTTCCGATTTGATTCCTCTCACTCCCACGCATTTTTGAAACGGACAACCGTTCACAACATTGTCTGCACCCCAAGTGGAAGACACTTCGATCGCCAGACCCAGCAGATATAATCGTATACAAACATTAAAAACACATTTTTGGCACCAAACACTTTGGCACCTAAGGCTGTTTGTCCACCGCCGCCGTCACCGTCACGTCACCGAGAACGAGATGAGTTTAGAGGCAGAAGGTGGTCTAGAGGCAGAAGATGGTCAAGAGGCAGAAGATGGTCAAGAGATAGAAGATGGTCTAAAGAATTAAAAATAACAGCATTAAGACTGTATAAGAAGGGCACCAAGATGTTATCATCTTCTAAGAAGGTTATTCTGTTTACCAGCACAGAGTACTTTGAAAACATTATTAAGGCAAATTTCACTATCTGTTGGGATCAATGAATTTTTTTTCATATTTTAAAGAAGATTATAACTAATTTGTCACCCAGTGATAATGAGTTCGTGGTAACTTTTGATGAGATATCAATACGAAAACATCTTCATTATATTAAAAAAGATGACAAAATTGAAGGTTGTTAGGATCATGCCTCACAAGGAAGATCTTCTCGAGTATCTTCAAGGATCTTTTCTAATAATAATAATTTATTTGCGTTTGAATAGGGTATACAAAATAGATGTAAAAGGTAATACAATTATCGTCTATTCAGCCATTAACAATAGCATGCAAATGTAGTAAAAGAAGACACCATAAGCACTGATTAATCCACCCAGGCTAACGTTCAGTTTTCTATAGTCTTATCTTACGGTTTGCGAAATCAGAAAAAAACGTCAACCAATTGCCTATTATTTTGCTGCTTCATCAGTTACAACTGATAGACTTGCTGGCATTATTAAAGAGGTAACAAACTGTTTTAAATATTTATTGATTAAGATTGAATCAAATATGGTGTTCCATACAATGATATGAATATGTGAGAAATGTTAACTTCGCATTCAAAATAAACCATAATCATACAGTAAGAAACCACCTTGTTAGCTTTTTTTTGGTTTACGTCATTGTTTCAAGTATGGAGAAAAGGTGACTACAACGTTCTGTGATATGGATGGTGTTAACCGAAGAGCTTCAGCAATATTGGGTGCTACTTTGAAAAATCTTTGTATAGAGTTGGACAATCAGAGAATAGTAACCATATTTGATCCTCCACGTTTATTTAAATGTTTTAGAAACCTTTTCATGAAATATGACATTGGAGTGAATCATTTATATATTTCAACTCAAAATATTAGTGGCAAAGGTAAGTTTAAATGTATAGACTCCTCTTGAGAAATTAGATAATCAGGGTTTGATAAATCTGTTTTTTAGGGTTCCATCCAATTTAGAAAACAATAACTTATTACTAAAACTCCGCTGTCTGTCAGTCTGTCTAGGCTGTATTTTATGAACCGTGACAGTTGAAATTCCCACAAATGATGACTTTTACTGCTATAACAAATACTAAAATACATAATAAAATAAATATTTAAGATGGCTCCCATTAAACAAACGTTATTTTTTCGCATTTTTAATAGTAATGTTACGGAACTAATTTGTCAGCTTTTAATATATGTATATATCCAATATTATTTGTATGTAAATATATCTGAGATTTTCCTATTATATTGATTCAACTTTATGCTCAATTCTGGGATATTCATTATGCACGGTGATACGTATTTATGATTTGATTAATCAATGTTTTCAACATAATTACTTGGTAATAATTATTTAAAAGTTAATTTGAATTTAATTAACGAGAATACCAGCCTATGTTATAGTTGCTAGACCACTCATTGAATTGCTGAAGAAAACGAGTGTCTGGCGATGAGAAAATAATCAAGGTCACAACGTTAACTTATGAAACTATACTGGTGATGGTATTGCTTTGGTGATGGAGTTCTCCTTTACTCTAGGTATGGAAACCAATTACTACCCCGCAAATGGCTCCACAGCCATCCACTTCGGGAATCAAACGGTCCCGAAAAACTTTACATCTCGCCGACGACGAGATCGCAGAGTATTTGGAAATGAACGATTCTGGGAGTGATGGCGAAGTCGGCGAGATTTGCAATGAAGATGACCTCGGTGTCGAATACGATGAAGAGTATTTTACGAGGATGGTGAGTGCGAAAGGGAGTGAAAGAGAACTAGTGGAAGAAGTGGCAGATGAAGATATGCGAGACGACGCAGAAATAGACGGCGGAGTGAGAGACGCGATTGTAGTGCCGGATGGAGGTGTCGCGAATGCAATATTGGGCATAGATCCGAATGCGAGAGACGATGTCTACGCAAATTTAGAGGATTTTTCTTGGTCAGAAGACTATTGTACGTTTTCTGGCCAAGAAGAACCTTATTTGCGTAGTTCCGGTCTTCGTATTCCAATCGATGACCCAATAGGTATATTTGATACGATATGGGATGAAAGGATTATGAAACTGATAGTGGAAGAGACAAATAGATACGAATGGCAAATTATAGCTCCATTATCCGAAACAGAGGGTGGGATACCAGTGCATCTAAATGCATAGTATGACACCACTGTTGAGGAAATGTACGTGTACTTTGCCGTGCTTATCTTGATGTCATTTTGCCAGAGAGGCAGAGTGCATGAATATTGGGAGACGAGGGCCCCAACGACAATGCAAGATTGGGCAAGTATGATGTCGCGGAATCGCTTCCAACTTTTATCCCGATTCCTACATTTTGTCGATAACGATGAATATATCCCTGCCCAAACTTTCTACGAAAAGAAAATACTCAAGATCCGTCCTATCCTGGACCACTGCAACAAAAAATTTAGTACAATATACTTACCCGAGAAACACCTCAGCTTAGACGAGTCACTGCTTTTGTGGAAGGGTCGTCTTCGCTGGGTGCAGTGCATCCGCACTAAGGTTCGATAATGCTACCGCAAAGGTAGTCCTTGAGCTAATGGATGGGTACCTCGATGTTGGTCATACCCTCGTCATGGACAACTGGTACAACCAGTTGCCTTTGACGAGGTATTTGAAAAGAAAAGCCACGGACGTAATTGAGACATTAAATCCCCGAAGAAAGCATGTTCCAGGCTGCATTAAGACCATTAAGGACAATACTCGGAGAAGGGGTGACGTTGTATCAGTACACTGCGGCGACATTTCTATAACGTCTTGGCAAGACGTTAAATTAGTAACGTCCATCTCCACCTGCCATGATAATTCAATGGTCCCGGCTCGTAGGGCAGGAGAAAATATTTTAAAGCCGGCAGCAGTCGCCGCATACAATAGAAATATGGGCGGAGTGGACAGCAAAGACCAAAAATTATCCTACCTTCTATTAGAGAGGACGCGGGGTACCAAGTGGTACATCAAGGTATTCAAAAAAATTTTGAATACCTCTTTATTAAATTCAAACGTATTGTTTTTGAAAAATGCAACCACTTCACGTTCACTGACGCACCGGGAATATCGTCGAAATGTGGCCGTAGGCCTATGGCAAAAATATTCCCGGCGCGCTGAAGTGGTATAACGAGTACCTATCACAACGTCTTTGGAGAAGCGACTGCAACCCGGGGAACATGTTCCCGCTTACTATGAAACTAAAAACTCAAACCGGCAGTTGCGTCTCCATAAACGTTGTGTTAGGTGCTCTTTGAAAAAAAAAAAACGAACAATGGTGACGACCTACTGCGAGTTTTGTCAAGTTGCCTTGTGCCTGGGGTTGTGTTGGAGGGAGTATCATTATTCGAGCTCCCTCCAATAGTTTACTCCCTCTTGTGTTTATTAAAATCAGAAACAACGAAAGTACAGATAGCGGCAAACATCTAGTCAGCTCTGAACATCGCGTGAGTCGCGTCGCAGTAGCCAATTTTAGGTATCAGAGGGACGAGAGAAGGTAGCGGGCGGCGAAGCCCGCCTCCCTCCTCGCCGCCTAGCCGCTTAGTTACGCTAGTGTGCATACAGCGTTCTTTCAGAGCATACACACGCTTGTCGTGAACTCTCGTGAAGTACAATCGGCTACGCGTTGTCATTGCGTTGTTACGTGTGTTATATTTACTGCATTTGTTAAGTTTTTGCATTTCGGCATTTGTTAAGTTAATTTGTTATTGTTACTATTGTTATGTTTTCGTATGATCACAAAGACTAAAAATGTCCCACCGGGATACGGTTTTACGAAGGCAGGCAAGAAAAATTATTTACAATGTTAAGACATTCATGCAGACTGAAGCGGATGAAGGTATTAAAATACATATCAAATATGTGCAGAAGAGAGTTGCAGCAGCTACCGGAGTTTCAACAAGAACGGTAAACAGAATTGTTAAAGAAGCGAATAAATCTGATCTTCTATCAGTATTAAGAACCCCCGGCAAGAAAAGGTCAAACAAAAAAAAGAATAACTGGAATAGGGTGCTTCCACTGAAATGCGACATGATAGGCTCAAAATAAAACTTACGCAATCATTACAATTTGTAGACAAAATAGGTAGCTTTTGAAATGAATTAACTGGCAACACTAATTTTAAAACAAAAGATGACGGTTTTTTTCTCACTGTCAGTTTGATTAGCAACATTGTTTAGCTTTAGAAAACACCTACATTTTTATTATTTCAGAATTAATGTTTATTTCTCAAGGGTTTTAAGGTATTTTGGTACAAATAACGGTGTTGATATTGTGTGATAACTACCTTTTTACTTCGATGCGAATATTTTGGTAAGTATTCAAATTAAATAACTTTATTTTATGTAAAAGCTAACCTCCATAAATTTGTAACATGAGTGATCAAAATGCATATTTTTTACTTTTAAACATATAAATAATAGTCAAAAAGGATTCTATTTTTTTATTTACTTCGTAGAAGCGATAAGTAAAAGTATTGTACAATAATATTTCTACAATTGTTTTAAAGATTTATTGAAAAGATGTCATGAATACTGTAACATGAGTGACCGGTAACTCACGTTACATGAAGTAACGTGGGTTACCGATGTTAAGTTTGATCCAATGTGACTGGATTTGTAATATTGTAGTATTATGTTGAATTTATTGTATTGTTTTAGAAATAATGGCTTTGACGGGGAGCTGAAAAGATGAGGCGTCGAAGGGAAATCTAAAAAAACTGAAACAATACGATGATTTTAAGGCCAAACATAGGCAACAAGCACAAAAAAGTAGAGCTAAGGCAAAAATAGAGCTAAATAAATTACCTAAAACAAAATTGAACAAAAAACTAGAGGAAATAAGAAGGAAAACTAGAGAAAGAGTACAAAAACATCGAAATAAGAAGAAGGAACTTTTAGACGATAACCAACTGGAAAGTACTTCTTATTCTAATCCTAAAACCCTTGGTAAAGCTAAATCTAGGGTTAAAAAAGCATTGCCTGCATGTCCTTTACGGAAGAAAGCTGTACTTCAAAAGATTATGGAGGAAATAGATATAGTAGAACCATCAACTTCTACACAAAAATCAAAACACTGCATCTCTGATGAAATATTAGCAAAAGTGAAGCAATTCTATGAAAGAGATGATATAAGTAGGCAGGTTCCTGGCTTAAAAGACGTAAAAACCGTACGTGAGGGTAATACAAAGTCAAAGCAGCAAATTCGTCACCTTTATATGAAGTTTACGCATTATTTGTGGAAGAAAATGGACAGATTGTAGGGAAAAGCAAGTTTTCAGAGCTAAGACCGCAACATGTCTTATTAAGCTCTACTATACCGCGTAATGTATGTTTGTGTCGCTACCACGAAAACTATATTTTGGCTGTTAATACTCTCCACAATGTCTCTAAATCATTCCCAGCCTACGACAGTTTTTTCCTCTACAATATTTTATGCAAAACTCCAACAAATAATTGTTGGCTAAATGAGTGCAATAAATGTAAAAATAAATTGAAAAAAATGATAGACAGAGCCATCAGGGACACTAAAAGTTTGCCATATGAATTAACTTGGTATTTCTGGAAGGAAGATAGTAAAGGAAAACTCTGTAAAACAGTTCAAAGTGGCGATCTGGATGAACTGCAGAAACATTTGATCGATCTGACTCCTTCCTTCAAAGTTCATAGCTTTGTTAAGAATAGCCAAGCAAAAGCTTATGAAAAAGACAAAGAGGCAGTCACCAAAAACAAAAATGAAGTGGCAAGTCTCTTGCAGATTGATTTCTTAGAAAATTATACCTGCTTGGCTCAGGACGAAGTGCAGAGCTTTCACTGGGTGCAACCGCAGGTCACTTTGTTCACAATATCTCTTTGGCACTCAGGAAAACATTTTCCAATCGTCATCGTATCTGATAACCGACACCATACGAAAGACACCATTGTCCCTTTCCTGCAACGGACACTAGAAGAACTTCCGGACAATATAAAAGAAGTCCACGTTTGGTCAAATGGTCCAGCGTCGCAATTTAAAAATAGATTCATAGCTGCTTCACTGCCTCTGCTTGAAAAAATATCAAACAAGAAAATTATATGGAACTACTTTGCAACATCACACGGGAAAGGGCCTGTTGATGGCATCGGAGGTGCCCTAAAACGTTTAGTAAGATCGAAAGTAATAAGCCGCGTAGAAAACGTCTTTAATGCCCAACAATTTACTCAGGTTGGTAATAAATATTCAAGTGTGAAAGTTATAAATGTCAACGAAGAAGAAATTGAAAGGAGGTTTGCAAATTTAAAATTAAAGGATGTCTTTGACGCAGCTGTACACGTTGAGGGTATTGCAAAGATACACAATATTTATACCAGCAATTGTGTGGTGAAAACTGAGTCCGTCACCATTGACTCAAATCTTATAAAAGAAAAATCATTTCATCATACTGTGTATGGATCAGACGAGTCTGACATCTCTGATGATGACGTTCCTTTGTCTATTATAAGGAAAAAATGTTAGTTTTAAGCTTGAACACAATTTTTCTATTTAATTTTAATTTTTAGCGTACAAAATATGTACTACAATACTTTGATTATTAATGTAACGTGAGTTACCAGAACCCATGTAACGTGAGTGACCACAATTTCTTAATTTTTTTGCAGAAGTACTACTAATATAATTTATATTCTTAAAGATCTCATGTGTAAGACATTTAATAAAAACGGATATGATTTTTAATATTTTTATTTTTTACAATTGGAACAGAATTTATATGAGGTCCATAGTAACCCAAAAGCTCATGTCGCAAAAGGTAACGTGAGCTACCAACATCGTTTATTGAATCCAAAAAAAACTTTAACTGATAAATTTAAAATAAGATCAGACCCACATTTTGTGCATTATAACAACGAATTATTCATCAATAGGATAGTTGACATGAGTATAAAATATGGTAAGCTTCTATTGTTGTTTACTATGGAACCACCCAATAGATAATTTTGACGAAGGCGTGATTAAAAGGTGTGTGCACAATTTTCATCATACGGAAAAAGAGTTGCCGACAGTGAAAAAATTTCTACGAAAATTAAAAGCAGACATCAATTTCCAAGGTTCTGAAAGAAGTTTACGACGAATATTAAAACGCTTGGGATTCCAATGGAAGAAAACAGAGGATAACCGGAAAATTTTAATAGAACAAAGCAATATTCGCTTGAAACGTATAGAGTTTCTACAGCAAATTTCACGTTATCGCGAGGAAGGAAGGCCAATCATTTACACTGACCAGTCGTATGTTGATTCTACTCATTCCAGCTCTAAATCTTGGAGCGACGGTTCAAAGGAAGGGCTAAAAAAGAAAATTTCGAAGGGACAATGAGTTGTCATTGTACATGCCGGTTCAGATGCCGGTTTTATACCGAATGCCCTTCTAATGTTCAAAGCAGGGACGAAGAGTGGGGATTATCATGACAATATGAATTTTGAAAATTATGAGAAATGGCTACGAACGCAACTGTGGCGACTGATACATAGCGACATCTAATTCATCGCAGTAACATCGCCACAACAATCGGTAGCGAGAAGAATAGCATCGTCACAGCCATCGATAGCAAGACGAACTGCAATAAGTTTCAACAGCAAGTAACAAGATGGCGCTGTACCAATACAAACAGCATAAATTAATAACTACAAGACATTTAGAACAAAGAAACCTACATCACACAGAATAAGTTTAATTACCAATTAACATAAATAGAACGTCCAACCTACATCGGTTGGACCGCGGTCCCCGGGTTAAGAACACCTAGCTCGGAGGGAGACAATTATCCTTTAGTCTCCCTGGCCAGTTGTCTCCATCACCACAATAGGAACACCAACTTTACAACCTAAAGATTCCTAAAGTGGTGACCCCGACGTGATCTTCAACCGACGTGATCCTTAAACGACACGACATCGAAGACTCGAAGAACTACGTGATCCTGTTTCGAAACGCATTTTTCTCCTGCAAGAAAAACTTTCACAAGATGGCAAACACGGAAGCAAACCCACCGTCGCCGTCCACATCAAACGAAATCTCCAGCGTCGCACTCCCACTCCGCATACCACCATTCTGGCGCGATAAACCACGATTGTGGTTCGCCGTTTTTGAAGCTGCAGTTAATGAGCTTCATAAAAACGAAGCCCAGAAGGCGCAGATGGTCATCGCCCAGCTAAATAAGGAAGAAGTCGAGCAAATCTGCGACCTACTTTACGCACCACCGTCTGAGGGCTATTACACAGTCTTTAAAGAAAAACTCATATCTGCGTACGAGGAATCCGACAGCAAGCAGCTGCATAGGTTACTCTCCGACATGGAACTCGGTGACCAGAGGCCGAGCCAGTTGCTTCGTCGTATGAAAACGCTCGCTACGGGAAAAATCCCCGACAAAACGCTACAGCTAATGTGGATGAATCTTCTACCACCACACGTACGCTCGATACTCGTCGTAAGCGACACATTGGCCAAAGAAACCGCACTCGACGATATCGCCAAACTCGCTGATAAGTTGGTAGAACAATACGAAACTTCGTCAATATCATCTATCACTACGCCGATAGCAAACAAGAAGGATGATACTAACATGCAAATTTTAGTTGACGAGTTTCGCAAAATGAACACCGAGATCGCCGAACTGAAAGAAAAAACATCCAATTACCGCAGCAGCTGTAGCGGGCCGCCACATTACCATTACACGCAACAAAGAAACGATCACAGGACGCGGTACACTGCATTCCCGTCTCACTCACGCAACCGCTTCAGAGACAGATCCCCATCTCGCTCCCGCCATCGTTCGACACAAAACAGCCGATCACCATCGCCGTTTTGCTTTTACCACCAGCGCTTCGGATCTCAAGCAAAACGATGCACGACACCCTGCACATATTACAAGAAGTCGGAAAACTAAAACGAACGCTGGCAGCGGCGGAAACCGGCGTTCCCGAACATTCATACCGCCTATTCGTTACCGACAAGAAAACGAATTTAAGTTTCCTGGTCGACACCGGAACGAACATTTCGGTGCTACCTCGAACAAAAGGCCAACCAACAAAGCCATTAGCATTTCAACAGTATGCAGCAAATAACACTGTTATACCCACATACGGCGAAAAAACGATTTAACTCGATCTCAGCCTGCGCCGTCCATACAAATGGAAATTTATAGTAGCCGACGTATCACAACCAATACTGGGAGCCGACTTTTTAAAGCATCACCAGCTTATCGTCGACCTCAAAAATAGAAAACTTATTGATGGCGTCACCAACTTCAAGCTCAGTGCACCAATATGCACCATCGATGTTCCTACGATACGTAGTATTGACATATCACAGTCATTTCCTCCCAGGTCTATTGTGGTAGTTGATAATGCATCCTATCACAACAAGCAGGAACATCGCTGCCCAACTTCAAACTCGAGAAAATCTGATATGCAGTCATGGCTTCGAGAAAAAGACATCGGTTTCAGTCCAGAAATGCTTAAACCCCAACTTTACACACTGATAGAAAAAAATAAAGAGACAAATAAAAAGTTTTCCATCGATCGCATTCTTGGAGAAAACAACCACAAGGTTTTACGGCTTCCACCCTACCACCCAGACTTGAATCCAATAGAAATGGCATGGGCAGCTATAAAAGGACATGTTGCACAGAAAAATGTCAATTGGAACGTAAACAGAGTTATGGAGCTTGTGCAAGAAAAATGCGACATGATGGGTGAATCTGAGTGGATGGCTTTGTGTGCTAAAGTAAAAAAGATTGAGGAAGAGTACAAAAAAAGTGACCACGTCATTGACACCTTAACTGATGAAATTGTCATTAGGTTAAGCGACAGTGAGTCCGAATCAGAAAGTGAGAAGGAGACAGGAGACGAAACGGACTCCACCCAAGAATCCAGTGATGATGAGGATGATGTCCAACCTTGTTGTAGCACATCCGCATCTATATCAAATTTTATTGCAGGTGTAAGACCGTTGTAATTATAATTTAATTAATAAATAAAGAATTAAGTAAATAAAATTGAATAATTGTTATTAATTTATTATACATCATAATGTATGAATACGAACCCTTTGCTAGCGAATCACTCGCACTTGGCAATTTATTACATCATTAGGAGTAATAATTTCTATATAAAATGGATATAATATTGCTGCTTTTCTCATAAAGTCTTAATTTTTTTTAATATTGCTGCTTTTCTCATAAAGTCTTACTTTATACCTTTTCTCATTGTCTTTATTTCAACATATATTGTGGGGAGAGCAATCTGATGTGTATTTAGTAAAGTGACCTGCACTCACCTGCCGCCATAGCACATAGCACATTGCACTTAGTTCAGTTTCACAGATATATATTGGTTGCACTTTCTGATACTCATTATGGCCAATGTTGCAACAGTTATTGAGACACAGAAATCTCTGGAATCTGCACTGATGCATAGAATGAAGGAATTCGAAGATAAACTCAAGTCATCTTCATCCAATAAAGAAAAGGTTCCCCAACTGGAAGAAGAGTTTAAATCCTTCAAAGAAATCGTCTGGAGTGTTGTTTCTCTGCTAAGGCAACAAATTAATGAAGTTTTGAGGACAGTGGATCAGCTAGAAACGAGGCATCGGAGCAAGCACCTTCTTTTCTGTGGAGTTCCAGAAGAGCCTGATGAAGACTTGAAAGCTGCTGTAGCAACTCTTCTTCAAAAACATCTGGGCATCAGAGAAATTGAGCCATCATCAATTAAATTGTGCCACCGCCTGGGAGCCCCGGCTGTGGGTCGCTCTCGTCCTGTTGTTTTACGTTTCTTCAACAGCAATCTACGGGCCACTGTATGGAAACTGAAGACCAAACTGAAAGGCTCTTCTTTGGTGCTAAAAGAGTTCCTCACCAAGCCACGTGAGGCAGTGTTTCATGCGGCTCGAAGTCATTTCGGAGTTCCTAATGTTTGGTCAGCTGACGGTAATATTTTCGTCAAAACTCCTGATGGTAATCGGCTGCGTGTCGTTTGCAGTGATGAACTCGATACTATTGTAAAGCAGTATCCCAGTATCGCATCAACAGACAAAACTTCGGTCACTGCGCCTGTTGTTGGTGAAACATCAACTACATCTCGTCCGCTGCAGGCAAGATCGAGACGTACTGCGAAGACTGTGAAATAATCGTCTATTAACTCCAACAAAGCCATTTTTTGTTTCGTGTGTGTACAGTAATTGTTTCTTCCATTACCTTTGGCTTTGTTTACATCCATTACCAGAAGTCGGTACTCAAAACACTTTTTTTAATACTCCACTTTAAGGTAAATGTAAATATTTTATGTTTTATAATGTTTTCTTTCTAACTTTAAAAAACCATAACAGGCCTGCTGACAGTTGACAGCTGTTACTTGTCAATTTTGTTTTAAGTACGTCACTCACTATTTTAATCAAAGGCATCAAACCCATACAGCCTAAATAAGTTTTTTCTTCTTTTTTTTCTTTCTTTCGTCTTTTTATTATT